AATCACCTAAATGATAAACTTGTAGAGCTCGACCAAAAGTCTAGACCACTTTTATATAGCCTTTTTTTGCGAATTTATCATATTAAACTTGACAAATCGTCCATGGTCAGCGGATTTTCGGGGCGATAACAGACCCGAGATTGATGTCAGTACAGATGAGTGGGCATTTGTTGGGGTCTTGTTTGTTTCCCGAAGAGATTAGCGGGATATCTTAACTTCAGATTGAGGAGTACATGTTGAGGTTTTTGGGGATAAGCTCACATAATGCCGGAGGGAGGTACAGACGACCTTTGATGGGGCGGATTTTGGACTTCTGGGGAAACTGGCATTACTAATTTTTTTGGAAATTTTGCAAAGCGTTGGTTTCAGATTTTTCTCAAATTTGGAACGTATACCCGTACTTTAAATTGTATTTTGAAAACTCGTAGGCGCCTTTGAACTATAGTCCCACAAAATAATTTTTGGCATTTTTGTTTTCTTCTCTTTTCCAATTTTTTAGCAATAGACATTACTTGCAGCACATTTCAAAGATTTTTTAGTAATATTACCCTTAAAAATTGTCTCACAAAAATCTCAAATCCCGTTTTCCAGCCAACATCACCCATAAATCCATCTTCAAAAAGTTTTTCCCCAAAGCACGCGAGCCATTATTATTATAATATTACATGATACTGGGGCCAAAGAAAAGCCCAACTAATCCGATTTTGGCCTGCGGGAAGTATGGCCATTTTGCCCCGAAATGGAAAAAAAGAGCCGCGCGCAGGCCAAAAAAAAACGGATATAAAGTCGGATGGGATTGAGATGTATGTACATGTCTCTAAAAATATTTTTGGAGTACGTTTGAGTGGGAGGGGAGGTGGGTAATAGTAGTATATTGCGATTTCGGATTTTTTGAACGACTTTATGTACTTTTATATCAAAATTTTGCGGGGAGATCGAAACCTTGTTGCATCTTGTCATACGGCGATAGGGCAATATGCAAAGTAAAATGTCGCCGACGCATAGAAATGATCTTTATGAAAATGGCTTGTTAGTGTTTCTGAACAGTGCGTTTTTTTATTCTCACCGTGCCGATTTTATGTCTTGTTTTTGTACGGCTAATCTTCTTTCCTAAATTCTAGCACATGTATTATACATACTACATCCTCAAAAGACATTTAAGATCATCATGTTGACGGTGCAAAAATCTTCCTCTTCTCCAAACCCGATTATCTACGTAACACTGTATCAAAACGCGCTTGAAAATTGAATTTTCGTTTTTCTGTTTTGCAAAACACTTCTTGATGTTCAGTGGCATAGAAGTGCTTCCAAAAGGCACGTTGAGAAGATGGAAAGCCCGGATTTCAAAAATTTAAAATTCATCAAAATAGCTTGATTTTTTGAGGGTCGTCTAATTTGATGACTCAATATTGTGTGCTTACTGTAAGATTCGTAATCTGGACAGGGCATTTTTGAGCGGATTTTTTCTGAAAAAGAAAAATAAAAAATTTCAAAAAAAAAAACTTTTTTTTAAATTCAATTGTAACAAAACAAGTTTGGTCCCATTTTCCACTAAGGTCGGGTTCATAACTTATATTTATCCACTTTGACAGTCAAATACTTTTTTCTGTCATCACTTTCTTAAATTTTTTTAGGGCCTAGAAGCCGGTGAGTCTGCAAGAAAAGAGCTGTATAATTTGGTTTTTTGAAATATCTATTTTTATACTACAACCTTTAGATACGTGAATTTTAAGTCGTAGGTGGCGTGACAAGACATTTTCTATCGGGTTTAAACCGGGCCGGGGTAGTTCGTATTTGGTTAGCATTTCAAGGATATTTCCAAAACGACGATATGTAGTATGCTTTACAAAAAAAAATTGAATTGGTGTGATAAATAATTAAATTTTTTAGGTTGTTTTTGCCTGTATTTTATCGCTATTTCCCCCTATTTTTCGCGGGCACCAATATTTTTTGCACAATTTTTTTCAGTAATTTTGTTAAACTGCTTTTTTCAGCCTTTGTCAATCAGACGCCAAAAGTTAAACCGGATTTTGATGGTTTTTTTTTGGGGATTTGGACGTTTTTTGGTTGAGTAACAATGAAAGAAAGAAAAGGAAAGGGAAAGGAGGGCTAAAGTTATTTTAGAACTTGTCCTTTTTTCTGTATTGTTCGTCTGGTTCAGCAACTTTTTTTTGGATGACGAATTCTGGAACCAGTTTGCCATTTCAAGGTCAAAAGGTGAGAGTAAGAGTTTGCAACAATTTGACAAAATTTTATAAATTTTTTGCGCGGAGAATTGCGCAATTTTTCATTCCACTGATTTTTTTCGTATAAAAAAATATTTTTGCCTTAGGGCATACAAAAATTTTTGTCCTTAATTCCCAGCTGCTTTCTGATTTTTCTCTCCAAAAAACATCTAGTCTTCAAAAAACTCAATTTCTTTTCTCAAAATTGCCAGATTTCCATTTTTAGCGCCAACTTTAATAACTGCGTAAGTATGTACTCTGATGACGGAAAAGAGACAAATGGGCCAGAACCGGTTATTTTCGGCCATTTTGGGAATCGGATAAGGTTTTCGCTGTACGAGGTTTTGCTTTAATACAGCTTATAGGAGCTTTTGGCAATCACTAAAATCTTTAATCCGCGTTTGTCACGATCCATTTTTTTTGATTGTTGGCCCGTGAGAGACTATGGAAATTTGGAGAAACAGAAAATTATTATTCTTGGGAAAACGTTGATGAATCATGCGCTGTAAAAAGTGGACATAGCATATTACAAGGGTGACAATTATTTGAAAAGTTTGATGGTACGATCTAGCTTCTGTCGATCTTGAAATAAAAGTTACTATGCGACATATCGTATTTCCAGAGAATTCGTAAAAAAAACTTTTTTTTATTATGAAAAAAGCTCATATTTTTTTACATCTGAAGCTTCCTTCCATCGACGTATTTTACAATTCCGTCTAGCCTCAATTCATTGCCTTTGCAGAATCCCCTCATTTTCCCACAATCTTTAATAACGTTCTGAGGTCACCAAAACCCTTTGAAATCAATCCCTATTCATAATTTCCGCCTTTTCTTCGAAAAACTCTCACTCCTTATGGCCAAAGATTTATTAAATCGCTTTGTCCTCAAAAACCCTTTTTTCTTTCCACTTCCCCTGCGGGCATGACTTATTGCAGAGTCCAAAAGTCAGATGTGAAGTTATTTAGTCATAGGAAATTTGGGCATGGAACGGCCGAGACTTAATGGCCTTGGCCTCTGAGATTTATTGAAAATTTTTTGAAAGTAAAAAAAAACAAAATTTTTCATTGTCAAATTGTTCAAATTGCCGTTCTTTCAAAATTTTGACTTAAAAAAAATCAAACCTACTGTAGCTTTTTTTGATTCAAAATTTCCGATTTTCAGTTTTTAAAAGTGTTTTTTGGAAGTTTGGAGGTTAAACATACCTCGAGGGCAATATAAATAGACCGCCGGTTGAGCTCATTTAACAGAACAGAGACATCTGGTTTTTATATCGCCTGTTTATTCCATTGACGTTGGCCGGGGCCGTCTTTTATTTTGGGGTGGGTGGAATTTACGTGTAATATAATTTGGGCGGTTAAATTAGCAAGACGCTGCCGAAAATTCTATTTTTTTCGCCTAAAAAATCAATTTCATTTCGAGCAAAAATCAAAAAAAAATGTCGAAATTTTTTTTCTCTGACTGCCTCTAATTTACCGGTTGTCTCTCGCCTCAAAAAATCGAGAAATACAATATCTCTAATGCGAGCTCAAAGCATAACAAATAACTTTCACAATTTACAAATTTGTAATATAATAGAATGGTGTCTTTTAGGACAACTCGTATACTCTTTACTGCTCATATTACAGGTGGATTTTCCTATTTCTTTTGAAGAATTTTTATGCCGAATCCTTTTGCCTTATATTTTTTTTCATCCCTTTAAAATTAGCGCTCGATGAGTCCAAAAATACCGACCCTGTTCTATCACTCCAATTTAAATTGTTCCATGAATTCCTCGCCTCCCTCGATCCATCAAAAATCCGTTTGAAATCCAAATGGCAGCCCCTTTATAACAGAAATCTTTTCTCGCAAATTTCGGGTCAAAAGTCGAGATTAAACCCATCGCCTGTGCCCCGCCTTTTACTTACTCCGCGAACTTTTTTGGGGACAGAAAAGAGGAGCCAAAGGCCGGGGGATTTTGGCGCCCTGAGGGCTTCGCAAAGTTCCTTTTTCTTGCCTCCTTTTATGGAATCTTTGGAGGTTTTGGAAATATTTTTGCGGAACTTCTTCGGGGTTTATCGTGGAATTTAGTTTGTTTTTGTCCTACATCTCGGGATGGCTGCAACTGAATATGAATGCGTTGGGATGGGGTTGTTTTGGAGATGGAGAAGGATTTGGGGATGTATGGAAAAATGTTGCGGTATTTTTGAGATTAGAGAAATTTTGCAATATCCGACTTTAATGGGGTAAAATCAATGAGTTTCCAATATAAAAATTAGCGTTTCTATGAAGGTATGGCCGAAAAATGTTTTTCAGACTTTCTCCCCTTAAATTTGCCATCTTTAAATTTCAAAAAATTTCATATTACTCGCCATTTTTTGCCCACTTCGCCTACGTTTTTAATAATAAACTCCTTTTTCCACCTGAATAATGCCCGCTACATGAATTCTAATTTTGTAATTTCTAATCCGACCGTAAATCCGCCAACTTTTTCTCCCGACATTTCCGCGGCCATTTTCTATTTTATGCTTGAAGATGACGGGATTTATTCCTGAAATGGGATTTATTTCTGGAGAATTTCCCGGTTCACATTTTGAATTGGGAATTTATGAAATAAAAAAGTTCGTTTGACGTAATGTATACATAACATTCGAGTAATTACGTGAGATTTTTTGATTGTAAAGAACTGAGTAATAACCTCGAGTTTTTCAGGTATTTGTTTATATTATTGTAATTTTGTACATACGATTTGTGGTGATTAGTATTTTGTATCGAAAATAGTGGATATCAACGAAGAAAATGACCAGTTCCAGTGAAGGCGAGATCCTGCAAAACAATCAAATCATCCGGGAACGATGGAAAATTGTGAGTTTAAAGTGAAAATGTTAATACCACATATTTTAAAAATCTGTATGCTCTTTCTTAGAGATCAAAGAAACGTTTGCTGTTTGTATAGGCCATAAAATCAAATTTGAATTTTTCAGAAATGCAAGCTCGGCGGTGGAGGATTCGGCGAGATCTACGAAGCCCTTGACATGCAGAATCACAACGAAAGGGTCGCTGTGAAAGTTGAGTCAGCCAAAGCGACGAAACAAGTGCTCAAAATGGAGGTCGCGGTCCTCCGGAGGTTACAAGGTACGGCCTTTCATTTATTTTGATAATTCATTTTTTAACAGTTCAAAACGTTGTGGATTTTATGACATAACTTTCAGGGAAGAAGCACGCCTGTAAGTTCTACGGTTGTGGTCGAAATGAGCGGTATAACTACTTGGTCATGTCATTGCAAGGCAAAAACTTGGCTGATCTTCGACGAGAATCGCCGAAACAATGCTTCTCCGTGTCCACAGCTCTTCGATTGGCCTCGCAGATTTTGGTCTCCATCAAAGAGATTCACTCAATCGGGTTTTTACATCGAGACGTCAAGCCGGTGAGTTTAATATACTGATATTCCAAAGACTACTATTAATAGTGAATGTGTACTAAAAATAAATTTTTTAGTCCAATTTCGCGATGGGCCGGACCAGCTCCACAATGAGGGTGGTCTACATGCTCGACTTTGGTCTAGCCCGCCTGTTTCTAAACAACCGCGGAGAAATTCGCTCGCCACGGACAGCTGCCGGATTCCGCGGTACTGTCCGTTACGCCGCCGTCTCTGCTCATAAAAATAAAGAAATGGGAAGACAGGACGATCTCTGGTCATTGTTCTACATGCTGGTGGAGTTCCTTCAAGGAGCCTTGCCTTGGCGTCGAATTAAAGACAAGGATGAGGTTGGTCGGATGAAAGATGAGGCAGATCCCGAGAAGCTTCTTGAAGGCTGTCCTGTAGAACTTCTCGCCATTCCCAAGCATCTAAAAACCCTGGGCTACCCCGACGAACCAAATTACAGTATGCTTGAGAGTGTGTTGTGGTCTTGTATGGCAAGGCTGGGCGTTAACATGGACGATCCGTATGACTGGGAGATTGGATATGAAAACATCTCGGGACGAAGCAAAACAACGTCCAGTACCACCAATAATGGCAATGCTTCGACGAGAATGCGGTCACATACAACCGCCGTCAGAGATGTTCAACGGGATGAGAAGAATCGCGCCATGGACACACAAGCGCCGATCACAATGGGAGAGGACGAGGATGAGCAGACAGGAAACTACAATTACAAATTCCCAGCATTAGGCAGCATGAAGAGCTCGCAGCATGAGGCAGATGGCCACGAGAGACCAAAATATAAACGACAAGAGTTCATGCGACCGAAATATGGAGCAGTTAGTTTTGATGTAATTGACGCTGTGAATGCCCGATTAGCGGCTGCATCTTCTGCCGGCGAAGTCGAACCCAAAAACGGAGCTCCAGTCCATTTGATGAACAGATTGAGAATCGAAACCTCCGTTGAGAATGATCCAAAATGCTACAATCCAGTCCATGAAAAGGTAGAGCTTACGATTGGACAGCCACCGCCAAGAGAGAACAAAGAAAGTGTCAACAATAATAATGGAGAGGAGAAAAAGGTGGAACAGAAATCGGTAAAATCGCAGAAGAGTCTGACATTGTCGATCGGGAAGCGATATCAGAACGGAAAACGGAATGTGACGCCCTCAAATACGACGAACGCTATGGCCGAGGATGACGCGGCAGGAGGGAAAGACTTGTCGCAGAATAAAGGGCAGACTATTGTGTCTAAATGGCAGGGTGAGTTTTTCTATTGGGATCCTATTGCTTCTTTAGCAAGTAATTTTATCATGGTATAGCAAGCAAACAAAGAGATTTTATAAACTTAAAATATAACTCCCGTTTGCAGACTCCTTTGACGATTCCGTTGACGAAGAGAACGGCCTAGAACGCTCGATTGACCGTGATGGCGCCCGTTCTCCCGGTCCACCTCGCTATGTCCGTAACAAGCACATTGTCTCGGTTCAAGCTCAACAACCGCCCCTCCAACCCAACGGAATCACCAATTCCACCACCATGAATGGTGACCTTGCTGGCTATCTTTCTCCGCGCTCCGGGCGTCGCCTAATCACGTCGTCCAAATCCACAGCCCCACTGCTCAACGTCTCCGCCACGATTCAAGCGTGCGCGCCCAAGAGTCAGAATACAGTAGCGCCGAGCGAAACGAAAAAGGAAAAAAACGGTCAGAAAGAATCCTCACCAGGTAGTGGTGGTGGTGGTGGTGGGCTTATGTCGCATCTCAAGGGCCTAGTTAATGTGAGTAGTTGAGTGTGCACTTCCCCTCGTTTTTTCCTCGGATTGGGTTCTCTGGGTATTCGCTAACACACGGTTTGAGGTACGGATTTGACTTTTAATCTTTGTTTTGGCGACTAACTTGTATAGCATGGGCGATTTAATGCTTCAATAGGAATTTGACTGCCAGCACAAGCAAAAATTATAAATTAGCAATCAATAACACCCCAAACATTCAGCTACATAACATATTGCTTACTTGTCCTGCCTTTAGGTACATTTCGTTCTTGCTTTATTTCGTTCCCTTGCTTATTATCTTTGTGCACCTGCAATGACCTCTACAATTCTATTCCTCTAAAATTTCAGTCGTTCAACACGGCAAGCAGCAACGCGCTTGGGCACGTGCGAAAGCGTTCGCTTTCTCGTGGCATAAGTCTTGACGAGAGCCGGCAACGCCAACAACAGCCACCATTGCAGACGTTGCAGACGACCACGCCCAATTCGACGGCTACCACGCCGACCAGTGGGCTGGGAAGCGCGTCAAGCACTAGCTCGCACAATGGTAGGTAAAATACGAACAGCATTATAGATTTTTTTATCATTTTGTCCTGTTCTATAAAATTTGAAAGTAAGTTAATTGTAAATAAATCATTTTAGGACCTCACTCACCTTCTTCATCACGTCGATTGACCATCGAAGAAGAGGAGAGAGAGATGAGAAGACGTCGGAGACTCAGAAGACGCAGCGATTGTCAAGGAATGATCCCGGGTGCCAGAAGGACGGATGGAGTAAGTTTTTATACAAAATTAATTTTTTTGTTTACAATGAGTATACATATATTAATGATATTAATTAATCGTTTATTTCCAGAGTGTAAGTCCGGCCAGAACTCTGCATCCAAGTGTGATTTACTCGGCAAGTCCTGGAGATGGGTATGGGCGCCTCTGTAATAATGGAGTGCTTGTTAGCAGCAGTGTTCGCACATCTACGGACAGCGCATTCGAGGAGAGAAAGAATTCCTGTCGGTAAGCAAAAATGAGCGAGTAATCTTGTTTTTCTGGTATTTTTTGAGCCGAAATTTTGAGCTTTTACGGTTCATCGACATTCTTTTGCTCCTGTCGAGGGAAGAACTTGACTTCTCTGGATATTTTTTTAGCAAACATGACGCAATTTTTGCCTGAAACGTCATCAAAAATCTTGTTTTTAATCCTGTAATGATTTCAGCAAACGCTACCCATTTCTGAGCTTTGCCCCTCGGGCAATGTCCCGTTCGTAACCCGACCAAAAGCATCATCAATCCCAACGCAACTCAACATTCAAGTGCCTCAACGTGATGTGCAAATAACAAGCATCCGCAAATACCAAAAATTGCATTGTAATTACGTTTTTCAACGCATCTTTCAACGGGATTTCCAAAAAAATCTTTCCTCAAATCTCCACGAAACTTTTGATTTTTTCATTTTTGCGTTCTTTTCTCGAATATTTTTCAAATCTGGGTAAATTTGGCCATAAAAAAGTGTTATTATTGCTGCTCTCTATGTCTATATCCGCACATAATCCTATACAAATCGAATTCGTTTGCGCTCAATCGTCGTGTTATTTGTTCTAGTCACAACTCTCCGCTGTCAGGTTATGCCATCTTGCAGTATTATCGTTTATATGTTGTAAACCTCTTTTTTTTGTTACGATTTTTTCAAAGCATGAATAAATGAATTTATTTTGAGATTTTTTGAAATCTTGATTTTTACGAGAAAAATTTTAAAAAATCAAAAATTTGCATACTTCCTCAAAAATTTGCATAATTCCTCAAAAATTTGCATAATTTGGGGAGAAATTTGAATAAATATCCCAGACATTGAAAGCGGCTACAAATTTTCAAATCTCTGGGCATTTATCCGCGTTTGTCGTGCGCTGAGCAGTCGTGTTCCCGAGTTAAGTTCGTCTATTCCGTGGTTTTGGGAAGCAAGTGACCTGACGACGTCAGCCAGCTGTCTGGAGGGAATTCTGAATCCGCAGAGCCACTTCAGTAAGTATATACATATTTAGGAATATTTTACCCATTCCTGAGATTTTTTAGCCACGGGGGAAAACTTGACTCTTCAGGGTAAATTTGGATTGTGTTTTTCTGGGTATGCATACCAAAAACCTAGGCCTGATTTTTAGGGTATTCTACTACCCTGTTTTTCATATTTCTGTGTGAGAGCAACACTTGATCCATGTGGTGAATTTGGGTCAAGTATTTCTGTTGTCATGGAATGTCATAAAATGGAGCCGAAAGTAAACATAATATACCTTACATGTTTTAATGGCACTCTCTATAAAAAATCTAATTAAATAATCAACAATGAGTCAAGTCTTGCTCTTATTCCAACCAAAAGCAAACAGTTGAATTTTCAGAAAAAGATGGCTCAATTGCAACCATTCACGGAGCCCGAGACTCCTTGGCTAGACTCCATTATCCAACGCATGGAGTCGCTTTACAATTCGCTCGACAAGAACATCTGCAATGTGGTGACCTGCGACGAAATCCTCGCGATTCTGGCATTCGTCACCAAGATCATCAACCAAGAAGGCTCTCTGGTCGAGGTGGAGGTCCCAATCAAGGTGATTGGCGACATTCACGGGCAGTATCAGGACCTGCACAGGTTGTTTGACATGATTGGACGTGTTCCGGAGCAACGTTTCCTTTTCCTGGGGGACTATGTTGATCGAGGACCGCAAATGCTGGAGACGATTGTGTATTTGTTGGCGTTGAAGTTGAGACACCGCGACCGGATCTTCTTGCTTCGAGGAAATCACGAAACGCCGGCTGTCAATCGTATCTACGGGTTCTACGAAGAGTGCATGCGGAAATATGGGTAAGTTGAGGGACTCAAAGATTGTTGAATGCCTCACTTTCTTTGCAAAGCATTAACTAACCATTCTGTCGTATAAAATCTTATTTACCCCCGTTTCAGTGTCGGTCTCTGGTGGGAGTTCCAGACCGTCTTCAACCGCCTCCCCATGGCCGGTCTCATCTCCAAGCGCATCCTCTGTATGCACGGTGGTCTGTCGCCCGAGCTCACGTCCTTGGATCAGATCCGCAATATCCCCAGACCCTGTGAGCCTCAAGATCGTGGAATGCTGATCGATTTGTTGTGGTCTGACCCCACCAACAAGGGAGACGGATGGTTCTACTCGCCTCGCGGTATCTCTTACGCATTTGGGAAAGGCGTCATGGCCGCGGCTTGTAAGATCCTCGGCATTGACATGGTGATCCGAGCTCATCAAGTGGTCCAAGACGGATATGAAATTATGGTCGGAGGACAGTTGATCACCATCTTCTCGGCTCCGAATTATTGCGCACAGTTCAACAATGCCGCTGCTGTCGTTTGCATCGATGCTGATCTGCAGGTGAGTAGAAATTATGGAGTTTTGCAGATCGTAGGTTGAAAGAAATACTTGACTCAAGATGATAAAAATTTTGGCCTTGGGTCAAGTTTTTCTCTCATTGAAATTTGATTTTTTTCATGAAAATACAACATCTTTTACCAGGTCTCTTTCCAACAACTTCGCATGGCCGCTCCGCCGAACTGTAACCGCCCGGCTCCTCCAATTGCCTGTGATCTGTCTGCTCCCAAGACTGCCGGGCTCCCGACCTTCAAAATCCAGCCATATGGCTCCCTCCCACCTGAACAGCCGGCTCAAGAATCCTCGACTGACGGCAACAATAACGCGCAGCAGTAGAGTTATTGGTATTATATCGGATTGCGTTTCATTTGGGGCAAATAAAATTTCTATGAAATGTTGCTTTGTTGTTCTTAGCTGCAGTAAGCAAAGCCTTTTTTGTTCCAAATTTTTATCAGAGCTGTTTTGGTGACTAAAAAATAGCATTACGGACTGTTCCATACATATAATCCTCATACTTTAAGACGTTGCTTTACGTTTATTTTTGTCCTCTTATCACCTATGTAAAATTGTATTTTGTACCCTGTTCCGAAATGATCTTCCCTCACTCATTAAAGAACGGTGCAAACAGGATTTTTTTTCAAAATGCGTCATTATTTGATGTCAAATTGACCTTACACGGAATAATTTTCATATATTGACTACCTTTGACATGGGAGCCACAGCTGATTAAACAATGTGGAACGCTTCCGATTCAAGGATGGGCAAAGGTTGGGGACGTTATTTCAAATTTCCGATGAGATAAACGAGGGCCAAGGTGGTGGTGAGTGAAAGTAAGTTTAACATGGGTCTTATGCAGCGAGAAATTGTTGGAAATCTTTTTCAATAACCTTATTGTACATCCTAATCGATAAAATGATGGCAAAATGGATAGGAAGGACTTCTACATAGGGATCAAAACTTGATTTTTTTGGCTGTCCCAATTTACGTCATTTTCAATCAAAAAAATTTCTTTTTCATTGTGAATTACAAGTCACAAAAAATAATTGGATAGGTCTTTCCACCTAGAACAAGCCGTCTCACCCATCAACAAACATGGCTGTTTAGAATATAATGTAATCAAATGTCAACATCCCACACAAAATCTCGTATTAGTTCCATTATCCATCAAAAAAAATGCGAATTCTTTTTCCGGTAACGCTCGGTGCTTGTTCCTGTCTTTATCATAACCGTCTCCTTGAACTGTGGAGACAATAAAAATGTGTTCGCAAGCGCTGATAAGGCGCTCAGGGCTCAGAAATTTGCAATTTTTCCCTAGGCTTTTGAGTTCTGCTCTCTTCAAAATCCTTGGCCTACAATCGGTCCGAGAAGTATAGTAATAAGTGTTTTACTATATAAAGTTATCCGTTTGCCATACTACATATTGATACCCAATTATGATAAAAATTTTTACATTTCTTACCGATTTCAGACCATGGCTGGTGAGAAATCGACGCCATGGCCTTCAATTTGGGCTGCAACGGGCTTCTCGTTCTTCGCTGCAGTACAATTTAGCATCTATTTTGGCTCAACATACCCATATCTGCAAAGTGTAAGGTAACATTTTCCCTTCTCAATCCCTACAAAACCTGTTTGTAAGACCCTAGAAATCCCGCTTTATCCTTAAAATCTCCACTTTCAGCTTGACCCACACTCCACGGTAAACTTCTACGGTCTTGTTGTCGCTTCATACTCTCTTGGACAAACGGTTGGCGCTCCAGCAATTGGCTGGTGGAGCAGTAGATTAGACGGTATAAAGATCCCAATTTCTTTATGCCTTGCGCTCTCGTTTCTTGGCAATTTGATCTATATTCTGGCCCAGGCATCGACCGATTACGCCAAATACTTTTTGCTGATTGCCAGATTTGTGGTTGGGCTGGGATCTTGTAAGCAAATTTTGATGCTTTGTTTTACGGTAGTTGTAAAATACGGTATTCGTTTTACTTCTTTAGGTAACATCAGTATCCTCAAAGGCTATGCTGCCATGGCGTCAAATTCCAAGGATCGAGCAAGGGCCATCGCATTGCTGACGGGCGGAATTTCTCTTGGTGCTACGACTGGGCCGTGTAAGTTAATCTCAAATTAGTAGCTGGAAAACCTAAAATCTACTGAAACTACCAAAATTCTTAGCTCTAGGTTTATTGGGTCCAGTAATAAGTTTATTTTGAACCTGAATTGACAGCTTTTTGAAGCGTTGTTGGCAGCAATTTAGCAAGTATTTAACCCGCGTTTTGTTTAAAATACGTATATCTTAAATAGCTGTCCTTAACTAGATTCTCCTTGCAACATAATAAGCAATTTTAGATTTTAATAAAGCATCGTTTCAGTGTTGCAATCAGCCTTCACTCCGATTGGAGAGACAGGATGGAAGATTGCGGGTCGCGTCCACCTCAGCATGTACACATCCCCGGCATTTGTCGCGTGTGCCGTCAACTTCCTCGGGACATTGTTCTTATGGTTCGTATTCAAAGAAACCTACGCCGGATTGGCTCCACGAGAGGTCAACAAAAAGGTAAAATACGCACTCTGCACTTGCCTTCCATGAATCTTTGCAGTCAAAAAAGTAGTTTAGAAGGCCAAAGGAGATGAGAGAAAGGAAGACGTCCCTGGACTGCCAGCTTACGATAAACCGGCGGTTTTCCTCTGCTGCCTGACCCTATTTGCTCAACGATTTACTTTTACAAACATTGAAACCTTGGCGTCACCGCTGAGTATTACAATGTTCTCTTGGAGTAACGAGGAGACTGTGAAATACATTGGTTTGGCGCACGGTGCATTAAGCTTCATCGCGTTTTTGGTCTATTTGGCATTTTTTGTCGGACGACTTGATAAATAGTAAGTAAAAGTACTTTTTTAAGCGTTCAAAAAGTCTAACATCTCCATCCAATCATCGTATTTTACAGTATAAATAACCGAAATCAGACAATAGTTGCGTTGGGCGGGCTGATTATCTTCCATTTGGCCACATTTTCTTGGCCATTTTTGGGAGGAAGTCTACCCAAATATAATTCAGATGGTAAGTCAGTCATTTTTACTTCGCATTTTTTGCTTTTAGAGTCAAATTCGACGCAGCCTGGTTGCGATGTCGCCAAATACAACTGGTGTGACAGTGTGGCGCCTGTAAATCCGTGGGTATTTTATTTGGCCTACATTATTTTTATTGGAATATGCTTCCCAAGTGTCAGCATCACTCTGAACACACTGTTTTCGAAGATCATTGGACCCAGGAACATGGTAAAAACTATCGTATTTTAAAATGTATAAAAAAGGAGATTTCATAATATCATACTTATTTTCAGAATACCGAACAAGGCTTTCTCTACATGACAGGCGGAATCGCCCGCCTAATTGGCCCTCTAGTCATCAGCGCCCTCTACTCTCAATTCGGCCCGCAATACGCTTGGATTCTGGAGATCCTTGTGCTAATCATCATCATTGCCGCATGGATTGCAATGTATCGTCGAATGGTCCCACTGATCGTTCCCTCGGAAGTCTGGAACAGTGTCCGCAGCAAGAAGAGTCGAGCATCTGTAATTACAGAGGTCCTGCTTGAAGAAGAGATCGAGGAAATGGAGAGGGACCGACGAAGTAGTCGAGTGTTGTCCGTTTCTGGCGAATAAAGGCGAAGAGCAAGTGGCTTTTGAATATATACTGGTGACTGTAAATAAATTTCTGATTTTTGTTGATGAATCACAATATTTTGCAAATTTGTTTCGTTTTCTTGAACACCAATGGGTAGAGCAACAGCCACGCACACGGTTTTCGATCTCAATGATCCTTCGGACTTTCGAATACGAGTTTTTGATAAAAATTTTTGTGTTTTCAACACACAGTGAATCCGTTGCTTCTATACATACATGTATATTGTAATTGGAAGTTTTTACACTGTCAATCAAAAGTAAAGTTTTATTTCGCAGACCGAAAGATGTCCTATGATCATTAAAGAGCTGCAAAACTTATCAAACTCCTCGTTATAGCAATACTTTTACTTCCTTGCTTCTCAAGGGTCACATTGATGAGAAGGGTGTGATGTAAGGTCTCTTTCAAAAGTATAAGACCTTGCAAAAGTCATACTCTAAGTGTGATTATATCACGATTGCAAAGGAGCACGTGAATCCCACTCAGACGTCTCCATTTCCCCGTATCAAAAGTTCTTTTCATCATTTCGGCCAAGGTCATCGGCGGGGAGTGATAAAATTTGCCTTCCAAAAATGGACGATTCATTTCGGTTTTTTTCAACGACACTTCCATACCGCCACGACGTTGTTTTTGCTAAATCAACTATCAGCTTTCGAAAGCTGTATTTTTAGCCAAAATTTTCTTATCGGACGGCCTTTATATTGTAATTATCGTGCGTTCTCCAATAACTGTATCGCGGACGATGCCACGAGGTTTTCATATGATTCTGAGGTTTGCAGCAATCCATCTCCGTTGATAAGTAGCGGAAAACAGCGTGGCATTTTTGGGTGTAAACAAAGTTGTTCGCCCCGATCGATCAGTCTGAAAGCATGTGGAAAACAGATCGGCGGTGTGCGGAGGGGATAATCAATTGATTCTTGCGCCATTGCTTTTTCAGCAAGCAATAGTTGGCTTTATTACCACTATACTGTAATGACTTTGTCGTGAGAGAAATTTCGCGTAATTTAGCGCCTGTTGACTGTCTTGAAATTTGTGAATGGCATACTTATCCCCCGCTATCGCCAATGCATTTCCCCCGCTCGAAAACAACCCGAAAGTCTTTCTCTCTCTCCAAAAGCCATTTATCTCTTGATTTAAACCTTTATCTTCGATAAGCAAGCCACACAACGGGCACCTGAAGGGATAGATTTGAGGGTTCAAATTGTCACGTCAGTGGGCGTCGGGATTTTCCGAGATGATCTTATTGTAACGTTGAAGATTACGGATAGAGAGAAAAAGGAGAGAAAAAAAAGTGTCAACGGTTAGACGACAATTTTTGAGCAGCTTAAACGAAAATGCGATGTTAGGCACAGGACATAATGTGGTGCAAAAATAGAATTCAATTCTTTATGACATTCGGTAGTATGTGTTATGTATTATACTATGACAGACTTTTGGGGTACTATGCATATTTTACAGGAAAAAAGGAGTATTGTCAAAAATCTACTTTAAAATTTATGTGGTTTTTGCAAAGCAAAAATTAAAAATCTCGGCTGCATCATGACAGTTCACCTAAAACGGTACGTCCGGGCTAACGATGCACTTGAGGAAAAGTGTACTCAATCGAACCATAAATCTGGGCCACCAGTGCAGCTAGCCAGCTCTTTTTGAAACCCCTCAATTTGCGAAAACGCACGTTGATTTTTTGCTTTCAAAAAATGTATCAAGTTTCCGATTCAAATCTAGCCAACTGGCACACATACTACAAATTTATTTAATTTTTTTTGTTGAAAAAACTTTTGATCAGCCCCACTTTCTTTCCAGAGACGAAACTACATTATAACAGGTGCACACCACGCCTGTTTGCACTTCTTACATTGCGTCACATGCCGTGACCACCTCAGGATATGGCCTGAAGGTCAACAGAAGGTCACGATGATCCGTTAAACCCATCAAAACGCACATTTTCAATTCATTACTTGCACTTCTTGACGCGTTTTTCCCAAAACCTTTACGTCTCATTCATTATCAGCGAATTGATTTGATCCAATAAAAGTCTCTTTCCTCGAGGCGAGTTGTACTTTGCCCGGCGAGGAATTCTTTTTACTTTTGTCGGAAGCGATAGAAGCAGCGTTTCAACGGGGAGGAGGTGGGTAACGAAATTCAGAATTTTTTGCCGTTTGCGCGTAGCGATAAGATTTGAAGGTAATTTTGGAAAAAAGTGATATCTTTGAACCGCTTTTTATTCCAAAACTAAGAATAGATTTCTGCGTAGCGTGAGCTAGAATTCTCGCTTAGAACTCGAAATTTTCGTGCTTTTCAAAAATTAGTTTTTAGCTCGAAAACACAAACAACTTTTGCAGTGTCCCGCTACACAACTCAGTCTAATCCGACACACTTCTTTCAGGCCAAACCTCTGCCTGACACCGCATTCCCATCCCAATTTTGATTCGTAATTTTAATGCCTCGGGTTTAACCCGGTTCTTTGTGCGATTATAGCATGCAATCTCCATTCGTTTTTTTCGATAAAAACAGCTTTCGCAGAAGGAGTTGTTTTCGATAAGAGGCAGTGAAATTAAATTCGTGTTTGTCTAAACCTCGAAATTTAGCTGCGTAATCGGACTTGTTATGCCCATGTGACGAGCATGTGAAGAAAGGGTTTGTTGCGCTGCGGAAAAGGATGTTTTTGATCGTCCGAAGAATTTGGGGTTTCGGTTGTTCTGCGATCGTGTAGTTTTGCAGATTCCTTGGAAGAGGAATGTGAAAGGATTCCCGGAGTGGTACTATAAAAGATCTTCTGCGTATTAGCGATTGTGCATTGCATTTTTCTACGTAGAAATTCTCGGAACTCATAAGAGAAAGTCTTGTTCCGCGTACAGACTCCGATGAATCTTTAGCACAAATTACTCAATTTTAAAACATATTTGAGGTTTTTAGAGCGCGCTTTGCAAAAATAGAGCCTAAATATTGGGAATGAAAACTGTTTCTTTCTAGAGGGTTCCCCTCATTTTCCAGCCATAAAAATCGTTGAAAATCCTGCGCTTATATTATAGTTATGATATAAAGTGCAGCCTGAAATTGTTGTTTCACAGTTGCCCTATGACCTATCTCACCTACTTTCGTAATAACAAAGCAAACTTTTCTCCTTCGAATGTAGTTTAATTTTCAGTAGCTTCTGCCCTCCCGCCTTTTACAGTTAATTCCCGGAAAAGTGTTTAGACAGTCGGTTTTTCCTTTCCGTTTCTTAATTCTCCCAACTATCAACCATTAGTCAAATTCTCGAGTTTAAAGAATTTCCAGTAACTTTGACTGATCTTTTCCCACTCAATTAATCATTTTTCTGCTAACCCATTTTTCTCCCAACATGAAGAACTTTAAAAACATTGATCCAAATTCCTCCCTTCACCTTTACAAGTATAAAATTCCCTTTGCAAGAGATAATAAATATCACTCGCGGATTGTTTTGATGTTTTCGGTCGTATGACGTCGCCGTCGCTGATCTTTTCCCCTTTTTATGTCGTAAAAACAGAAAACCTTGGTTTGTTGATAAGCCCACGATGAAGTGATTTACGCGCGCTTGACGATTGCACTTTTAACTCTCTTGGATTTGCGATCTTTGTAAATGAAGATTCAATATATTGACTTGAATTTACATGCAAGCAAGCGAATTGCAAAATGACAATTTTGATAGTCATTTTTCAAATGACAATCATGATTAACATTTGTTTTTTAAGGCCAACAATTTTTTTAAAATTAGCATTTTTTTGTATAATCTCCCTCAATAACACCGTATTTTATGACTGTTTTCCCGCTGCTTTACATCTTTAAAGCACCACAGCTTGAATTTTGTCTGCTATGCATTTATATTTCCTAGCGATCGCTTTGATTAGCCTATGGGCTCTATGCTTGGCCACGCCTAGACAAAACTGCGGTAAGGGATAAAATTGGAACAGAACATTAGTTCTTCGTTAATTCTTTAGCTTGCGATGATTTCACCTGCACGATGAGATGTTATTCTCGAGATAAAACGCGATATGGCCGATGTGCTCACACGGCTTGTCTGTGCCCCAAGCTCTGTAATCGACCGAAAAATTATACCCTGCCGAACCAAAACCCCTGTGCCATGAATTCGATCGCAGCGCCTCCGCAGAGAAAAAGCAAAATGTCCAAATTTAGAGATGATAGCGGTATTCTCAGTAAGAGCGAAGATCTGTGTATTCCGTGTTTAAGAGCAGAGTTTATGAAGACATTGGATATGCTGAATGCCGAGGGAATGTAACCAAATTTATTCTGCATCCTGAGGATGTCAATAAAACTACTTTTATTTGTTGTTTTAACGCCCTAAAATCTTTGTTTTCTGGAGTAAACTGTGATTAGAATAGTATTTTTTCCATCGATTACTGATCTTGAAATTTATCGCAGATCTCTTCTTTTGCGATCAATGATTTCCAATCATTCCGCAGACCCTCTTTCTCTCATCGTAATTTTTCTCCCCTTCCTTTTGCAACAGCCTCTCCTACCCCTCTGACTGTGTGGTCCATTTGCACGCAAAAGTGCCTCGATTCATAAATTTTACAACTGAAGCCAAGCGACCTAATCGATAATTAATCTTCTCTCCCCGAAGTGCAATAAGAAGCGGAGTTTTACAAACAATAACTCGTGTTTTAACAATAAAGCGCCGTGATAAGTAGTTTCAAGTGTAGAGGGCGAGCGGGTACTTTGATTTTCTGGTTCCCTTTAGGTTTCATTCAAGTCTAATCGAATCACTCTAAATGGCTGAGATTTCGACCAAAGGGCAGTGCGTTGTGCCTTCGGGAAAAGTCTTACCATTGGTTAAAGGTTAGTAACAAGTTTAGTGGGGATTCCTTGTAAGGTTTCTCAACAAATAATAATACGGTCTCAATGGTAAAAAACGCGCCGTATTTAAATTTCCGTGCAATTTGGAATTTTTGACTCTGTGGCATTAGAAGTTTTGCAACAGGTCTACTATAACCCCTACAAGATACAGAATTCTTGTTTTAAAAATATCGCATATACCTCAGATAATATTGGCCCAAATTTGTCCCAAATCTTATCAAAATCAGCGCCGTTCATCGCGATTATTTCCCTGTGCGGACCTGACCAGCCAGCCAATCTTTTGATCCGTCTTGATCTCTTTTTTATAAGTTCTGTTCTTTCATTTTCTCCGTCTTGTATGCCCCAATCCTCTGCAAATTTCCGTTCAATTCCTTTCAAAAACCTTGGCCTCAGTGAACTCAAAATATACGACACCCACGTGACGTGGCCGTTGATTCCTTTTTCATTTCTGAAGCCCCCATTTATTGTGTACAGTTGCCGCTTCAACGCGAAAAGATCATATTGTTTTGCTTCACGTGGTTTTCGATTCGAAAAAGGGAGATTCGGATCAGCAAAGGAATGGAGAATTTAATTTTCGATGACAAAAAATTGCTTTATTTTTTGTTGGGTCATTTGTATTTGTCACACCTGCCGGAAGGCAAATATTACAAAAAATTGTTAAATTTTGATGAGGATAGAAAATAGAAAGGGCCGGGTTGTTTTGACAGTTGTAATCGGGGGTTTTCATACGTTGAAAATTATCCGCGAAACTTACTACTAATAAATTTTCATCGCCGATCTATCTAGGCTATATTTATCGCTGAGAATGTTATATTTTTCTTTGCAGGACAGCCAAAATATTGTAAGGCATTGTGAGACATTAGGGAATAAAAAGACAGCAAGTCAGAGAAAAAAATTCTTTTATTATATCGCTGATAAGTTAGCACGTAGAAAACTAAAAGTCTCGCAGACTCGTTAGAAAATCATAATCTTAATTTGACCATGCCTTATCAAAAACTGTCGCAAGACGCGCTGTTCAAAAAACGTTTCTCTCAGCGAAAAGACTTGAAAACAGAAAAAAGTTTAAAAAAGGATGATAATATCTGCTCATATCTCCCAAATCTCAAAGATAGTTTACACACGCGCCCGCAAACAGCCTCCCAAAGAGCAGCATTTGCGCTTTCTTTGTGCATAACAAATGCACCTTTGACATATCTTTTTGAGACAATCGCACTACACAAAGTTTAGTCCGACCATTTCTCTCTCCGAGCGGCGCTTTTAACAAAAAACATTTACATAAAATTCGTGAGTAATGATCGTAGGCCCTGCTTTCGCTGGTATGCTAATGAATGTGGGTACGTATCTGGCCGGGCTGCTCGAATTTACAGTGGCCAAAAGTGGTCGTTCCCATGAAATGTTTGATAAAAAATTCTTCCAAAATCTTCACAGTTGCAATAAGTGAGAGTACGTGAAATTTATCACAATTTGGCAAGGAAGACGGTAATTTATGAGAGAAACAATACATACTAAATTCCCGGGGGCCTTTTTTTCAACTTGGCTCCGTTTTAAATTGGCTTCATTTATAGCCAATTAGGGTCCAATTTTGATGCTATTTGAGGTGGTTTTGAGTCCTATTTTTTTACGTACATAAAAACCATACAATTAGTTTTTTCGCTTCGTAAAATGATTTTACTTTTGAACTTTTGTCGAAAATAAGCTGTATAGCCTCTACAATTTTGTCTTGCTTTATTTTTGCTCTCTTTCATGCCATCGAAACTCTTGCAAATCCCCAAATACCTTTCTAATCCCCCTGATTTCCATATTTTTTCCATTATTTTACACCATCTCCCACAAACAAAAACCTTTGCCCTCCGGCGTTCTTCAATAAAGCCTTGTTTTTGCGGTAACCTCAAACCAAAGGTCACTCAAGCATATTCGAAACAGTCAAGTGATTGCGATCATACTAATGTCAGTTGAAACTGTACGTTTAAAAGTTGTAGTCCATGCGCTAAAAATGGTGTGATGATGGGTCATTGAGTTTTTGGATTATCAAACAATCGGAATATTCTTTGTGTTTTGTTTGAGTCGAGCATTGTTGTCGGGGAATTGATTGGGAATTCTTTTGAGAAATGCCTTTTTTTGTGTCTCATGGGCTGACGTAATTTCGAGCCGAGAGTTATTGAGAGTTGCGTATAGGAACACGAGTTCTCGGAGTTCTAATATCTTTCGTAATTTTCGTTCCGGCTTTGTATAACGAATGTTTTGCGTTGATTAATATGCCCGAAAATCAGATGTTTAGAATTTTCGAGAACCCTGAATAGTCCTAACCTTTGACGATTTTTTCAAATGCGGGATTTCTTAACATTCTTAAAGTTCACCTAACTGGAACATATTACAATAAAATTTTTATCGCCTTTTACAGTGACAGCCCGGATATTCAACTTGCAGAATTTCAGAAATACGAAAAAGTGTTGTATTTTTTATTGGCCTAGAAAGCCAAATTTTTTGTCGAAATTGGTCAAAACATGTTACAGTAACGTCTTCTTGAACCCAAAACTTCCCATTACCTTTCATACAAAATGCCCAACATATTCTTGAGCCTTTTGTATTCGACTTCTCCGTGCAGTATCTAAGTTCTCTTCAACTTCTCCGTTTCCTCATATATTTTTGTCACAATTGATACGAATTCCCCCTCCAGCATGTGTACAAGTCACAGCCAGGGAAAGTCTATACAAACTAATTAGTATTCGGGGAAGCTAGCGCGGAAATGCACGTACTCCCCAAGCAGCAGAGATCTATGGGGCGCATAAGGAAAAAGGAGAACATAGTAACTTTATTCGCTCATAAATTTATCCGCCCAGCACGTTTTTATGGCGTTGTTTTGCACACGAAAGCGTTTATCAAGCTATCGCTTTGATTCCTACTGTAAAAACATTTTGGGCGGATTATTTTGTTGACTGGGGGATGAGTAATTTCATTCAAGAAGAGATGGGGCAATTTGGGAATTAATCGTCATTTGTTGCATCGAGGGTGGTGATAAACAGCTGTATATAATATCGCGTCTCGTTTGTATTGTTTTGCTTTATTTCTCAATGTGCCGTAGGTGGTTGGCTGTCTTTTCGGCACACCTTGAATGTTCATCTTCATTTTAAATTGGTTGGTTTACTATTGCGCGAAGTATTTTTTATACAGGCATTTCGTCATCACGCTGATCGTAAAATAGCCATTAAAGTAGCTACCTTTGAATCACGCTGATTACAACGTTGGGGTGTCAAAAAGATTTTTTATGTTCGTCCACAAAGAAACTGCCAAAATTGAAACCAGTAAAATAATTATTAGCAAACATGTAGGATGACGATTTATCAACGTAACAATTTTAATCACCATATCTTATCTTAGGAAGATCTACTCAAAGTTTTTGCCAAGTTTCTTTCAAAGCTTTTGTTAGATTTGTTCCCCATCGGAAACGATGCTTTTGCCGCATGGTTTGTATCTGCCAAAAATTAATCATTTGAGCGACAAGTTGACTAAAGTCCCAACAACAACCACTTCCTTTCTTTCTCTCTCTCTCTCCCTCAGCCCCAAACTTTGTCCACATGCTCCTTCTCTGTTTACCGCTGCTCCTCCACTGGCTATTTCCATTTCACAATTCGGTTTGCAAGAAGAAAACAAGCGCAGCACATTTGAAGAAGAGACAACATCATTCCTGGGTGTTTTCCCTCTCCCTTCAATTTATTATTATTTTGTATATTCGCCAATAAAAACACCCATGTGGCAGGGATCGGGTTCTCTCTCTTTTTTGTGCAGAGTTTACACAGTTTTGGGAGAGGCTTTTATAGAAGAGAGTGGGGGGAAAAGCGGAACGCTCGCCGTCAAATCAGTCTTCTGTCGTTCGGCTTTTTTTTTGCTTCCCCATTCTTCGGAACGTTTCTTATCCGTGGGTTTTTTGTGTGTTTGGCCAGGAATTTGTTTTCTCTCCGGTGTTATTACCGTAGAGAAGAGGCCCCGATTGCAACGGCAGGCACAAGTGATGCTGGATGTGTCCTGTGTGACGTCTGGAAATGTGAACCGGAGGTGATGAGCGGGCTTTCGAAGTGTCTTTTTTTTCTGTCATACCATGTGGCTCGGCTTAATTCTAAACGACCAAATGGCTTAATGTTTGTTACGCTGTTAAAATACACGCAATTACTATTGTAATACTTATTTTTGGTTAAATTTGACCAAATTTTTAGTCGAGGTGTCATTCCAAAAATTTTATCTCAAAAAAGGTTATCTGCTAAACGAAAATTACATTTTCTACCTTGTACAATATTGTTGATTAATAAACTACAGCTTATACAACTAAATACTGTACGCTTTGACGTCCTCCTTTACGTAATAAGCGTTCGTATTGGGTGGAAAAAGGGTCTGTTCGTAAACGGATAATTAACTGTTGAACCGCTTTACCAGTTTTGCCATACTGCCCGAGGCAAGTAAACAAACCCGCGCTTGCAGCCTTACACTATTTCTAAAGCAGAGATTGTCACCCCTTCGAGGTTTCATTTGGCGTGTTTTGGCACACATCTCGATAGTTTGTTCAAATTTTGTATTCTGCCCTTATTCTCCTCCAAAATCAAAGAACCCACCCAAACCGTGTTCACAACGTGCCTTGAGGGCACGAAATCACCTCCAACTGATGATCAGCTCTGCTATCATCCGTTCCTTTCTTTCTCACCTCCTTCCAAGACGATAATCACATTCATTTCCATCTCGGATCACATGTTGCACTCGCCGCCCTTTCCCGAATTTTGTCCATCTATTTTTTAAGTCCTCAGGCACTTTTTAAATTGAAAATCTCTCCCAGATTTCGGGGATTGTTTGGCGATGATATTAAATTGTTTTTTTTTCACTGTTTTGGCTCCGTTTCCGGGTGGTATTTTCAGGAAAATGTCCAATTTTCCTTTTTCTTTGCAAAAATTTTCGTGTCCGACACAGTAAACAGCCGTATATTTTGGCTGCTTCTCGCTTTATACGACCTTTTACGCCCTTCGCTACCAATAAAACGCAGTAATTCCGCAATAATTTGTTGTTAACTTTATAGTACACTAGGTGTATCTAGTTGAAAATAATAACAAATATGGACTCGCTAAGGCCTCAAAAATTACTGCTTTTATGCGTAGTGCAACGAACTGCCTGCGTTCGGTACGTATAAAGGGCAAGCGCGTGTTCTACTACACATCGATAGCACTTTCTACTCGAAAACATCCAGTAATTACCATATCCGCTTTACACTTTCGTAAATGCCCGACCTACTTTACGTTTCATGTTACACTTCGCAGCGAAAAAAATCATTTTTTCATTCATTCACGTATTTTACCAGAAATTTCCCCGTTTTCCGCGAGAAATTACGATTTGTCTCGCTAAAGGAACACTTGACCTTTTTATGATCAATGTGTCAAGAGTTGTTCTTGGTAATAAAGCTGTCAGATTGTTCGCTGGTTTCGTGCTGACGTGCCCTTGAGGTTATCTTTTGATAAATTTTACGGTTTTTGGTATTTTTAGGTGACTAAACTGCCGCATCATTGTCCTTGCTTGCTGCTTTTGTTAATTGAACGGGTAATTTGAGGCAATGGATCGTGCTTCGCCGGATCTTGGAAGTGATGAAGGTGAGAGGGATTACTAGTAGAAGTTTAGTTACAATCCGCATAATTTTTTCTATGAAGGAAAAGGTTTTTTAGCTATGTTTTCGGCTTAAACTAGAGACTGATACCTAAAATAAGTCACAATTCCATTTCTAGTTGGAAATTCCTCTTGATTGTGCCTAAAATAGCGATTAATAGACGGAAGATGTATTATTCTTGTTGTTGTAATCATTTCCGACTCGAACATTACCCATTTTTATTTTAGGCGATGAGCGTTCGATCGGCACCAGCAGTGGAAACTTGGTGTGCCTCGTCTGTGGCGACACTGCAACGGGTAGACATTATGGGTCAGTGGCTTGCAACGGTTGTAAAGGCTTCTTTCGACGGACTATTAGACGGAATTACAAGTATAGCTGCAGATTCAGCGGGAATTGCCAAATCGACAAACGTAAGTCTAAAATAATATAATTTTTTGATTAAAAAGCGATGTTTATAAGAAGTTCGGCAATCCCATTATATTTCCATCATATTTTTATGACTCTATATTGCATTTTTTCAGATAATCGAGCAGTTTGTCGAGCATGCCGTTATGCAAGATGTATAAGATACGGCATGAAAGTTGATGGTAAGTTGACGTTTTTTTGTGGATTTTATTGTTTCGATACGTCTGATGAGCCTTTTTGGAGTTCGCGGAGGTTTTAAAACCTTTTTTCCACCTGTTTATCAAACGTTTTCATAGAAAATAACACTTGGCATGAGTCAACTGTTGATTTCTGTCGAATTAAAACTCATTTTTCATTCCCTTATTTTTTCAGCTGTTCAAAACGAACGCGATTTGATTGGAAAGCGTCCCAGAACACAGTCGGCCAACGGCCCTGGGACGATCTCCCCACCAAACGGATCAAATCCGGTCGCATCGCCGACCTCGGTGGGGGTCGCAAATTTCTTCAATTCGGATAGCACTGGCTCAGGGTAAGTGCACTGGAGTGCACGGCCTAAATGGAGTGTTCTTTGGGTATTTGAGTGCATTACACTTGAGTACTCTGAAAGGCAAATAGCCTTTCGTTTTTAATTCTGTGCACTTTCGGATAGTAAGGGTATGATGCATTTTCAGCACGGTCCCCACAACATCCACGGACCCTTGGGAATCTCCAAAGGCGTTGCTGGAATTACTGTTAAGGTCGGAGGAAAAGGAGAAGAACTTGAGGGCCACGGTGATCAAGGAGACGGGAAAATTGGAGTTCACAACCAAGAATGAACCAGTAAGTAATGTTTTTTGAACAAAATTTTTTGCATGGTTTAGAAGTTTTGTTGATTACGAGTTCCACTGTGGCTTTAGTTTGAAATTAGGTGCGGAAAAATAAATTGCATTTGCAGCAGCTACTTTTTACCATTTATATTTTTCGTTCTTTACAAGGGGCGGTTTTCGCGCGGCTGCGCCCTTGCTTCAATTTAAAATTTGACCCATAATGTACAAAAATTGATGTCATTGTGAATTCCCGATTAATAACACTGTTTTTTTCAGCGTTTCTCCACCAACGCCAACCGTCGGAAGGCTACGTACAATGATATCTTGCACTCCCTCCATAGCCAGTTGTTATTGGTCATTGAATGGGCGAAAACGCTTCGGCCATTCGCCGAATTGTCAACGGAGGACCAGACCGCTCTGCTCAAGAACTTTGCCTCTCAACATATCGTTCTCTGTGTGGCGTATCGCTCGATCAATGCTTGCGACATGTTGCAGTTGATCAACGACACTTGTATTCCAAGAGCTAGTGGAAGAACTGAGTAAGTGAAGGCGTGCAAAATGATATTAAGGGCTTCTTAGAGGTATTCAGAACTTTGGGAGTGCATAGCGGGCTTTTTCGAGGGTTTTTTAGCAGAAATTTATATTGTTTTAGGTATTTTTGACAAAAAAAAATTTAAAATTTTGTAATTTGACCATGATTCTTTGCAGTGATTTCTATTCGAAGGACTGTGATCGAGTCATGGACACTCTGGTGGCTCCAATGAGATTCCTACAGATGGATGATGTCGAATTTGTCACCATGAAAGCGTGTGTTTTATTTGATCCGGTGGCCAGAGGCCTCTCCAACGAAAGTGTAATGAAAGTCCTAGACACTCGCCGAAGAATCTTCTCGGCCCTGGAATTCTACGCAAAAAGTCGCCACGGCGAAAATTCGAGTCGAGTTGGAGATCTGACCTTCTTCATCTTGTCGCCCTTGCAGGTGGGTATTTTTTATTTTTTCTTCTTTGAATTTAGATAAACTATGACGAAAGGATGATTTTAGAGCTTGGCAAGATCAATTTCCGAAGATATTTTGGTCTCCAAATTGAGCGGAATGGCCAGAATTGACATGCTGATGGAGGAATTGATCCTCGAAGACACCGAACCCAAGCAGAGGACCCCTCTCAACCTCCAAAGATCTCTCTCGGAAACCGAGGACCCGTCCTTTGTCGATTTCCCGGCCCCAATGTCGGCAACTTCGGAGCCTCAGCTGTCGAATCCACCGTCTTACGAGGACCCGTTGGTATTCCAACCGGTGGGCTCGGCCCCGGCCCAGGGTGATCTTCAAGTCCCAACGGATAAACATAATGCGATTCCCGCGATGAAAAGTGAGATGTCGCCGATTCATCAATACGAAATGATGTCCACTCTGTCTTCGTATGTGTTTGGTGGGACTTTGCAGAGGTAAATTTGGGAGTTGTGATGGGCTGGGATGTTGGAGAGGGGTTTAATTTAATGATTAAAATTTAAAAAAATATTATTTTTATATTTTTTATAATTTTCATTGAAATTTTTGGCTAATTTTTTGCGATTTTTTCTTATCTTTTCATTAATTCAATCTGAATTTTTGCTAATTGAATTATAATTTTTCTTTTCCAGCCCTCTCTCCCCCTCGAATGACGTCATGTTTTCCTCGGCAGCCAGTGTGAACCCGTCGAACGACCTCATTGAATCCAAAGTGAACCCTCAAGCCATGGAAGAGACGGTTATGATGTCCTCGCCCCCCTCTCAACAATGGCCACAGAACCCTCCGATGAGTTCAGGACGCCTCTCGGCCCACCTAAATTACAATAACACCCCGAATGTGGCATCGCCGGGCAATATGTTCATGCCGCAGGCATCTCTCAACTTTTAGACCCATTTTTGGATATTGTTTTTCTTTTCTCTTGCACTTTTTATGACTCTTTTGAACAGGTCTTGCAGTGTGTTATCGGATATCGGCAACAATGTCATATCTTTGTGTCCTTTTATATTTTTTATGTTTTTCAAACTTTTGCCATTTTAAATTTTTTCAATGCCATTTTTTATTCAGATTGCCAAAATTTTTGTTTGTTTTATGGTTTTTTAAGCATTCTAAAGCTTTTTTTACAGCTATATATTGGTTTTTGAATCGTTTTTTTTTGTTTTCCGATCAATTCTCAATTTCAATATCATTTGTTTCGTCTTTTTGAGACTTTATACCTAGTCCAACGAAAATTGCGGCAGTTTATTTCCTCTCCCTTCCTACGAGTCCTACAATCCTCTACCTTTATGTATAATCCAACCCTCAGCCAGAATTTTATGTCGAGAATTATTTGATACCTCAGTGAAGGTCGATTACCCTCCATTTCTATTGGTTATCATATTTTTTTGTTCTTTTCGAGTAGGTAAAGTTTTATTTACTGGTCTTTTTTTATAAAATAAATTGAAACTTTGATTTTTGTTATATTTGCCGACAAGGAGACATAAATTGTATTATCCATGAGGTCATTTCGAAAAGAAGTTTTAAAAGTTTTGTTTGCTGATGTCGGAGTAGAGTCAAATTGTGGATGGGCGATCCAAATAGGCTGTGAATCAAGCCTTGGAAGTTACAGCTCATGATTTACGAGTTGAACCTATTTATTGAACGGTCTTTGCAGGAGAGACTATTGAAGATCCGAAGAGAGGTGATATAATACAAAATGAATCAGAACTGCTACTTTCTTGTAAGCCAAAGAGCCCTTGCGTGTGCCTTGGAAAGCTCCAATCTCAATTTTTACGAAGCACGCCAATCCAACGTGCTTGAAGCAATTTGCTGACCAAGATTTAATCAAATTCACGTTTCGTTACAAACAGAATTTTTGTTGAAAAATCTTTGGCTGTTTTTCTCCTGGCTGCATGGGACAAAATCTTGTTCTTTGTCAGAAACGTATGTTTTAAAAATTTTCGTGACTCCATCTAAAATTCTTTCTACAACATTGTGCGTCCCGGCATTTTGGGTTGATACCTCAAAATAGGTGATAAGCTCTCCTACACGTCAAAGAAAAAGTGAAAGAACAAGGAATCATTGATTGTTGACGAAATGTCGGTGAATTATCGAGTCACAAAAGAAAACTTCCCACAACGTTTAGAAACAACTAGAAAAGCGGAAGTCGAGCTCTAATTGCGCCATTATCGATCGAATTTTTGTGACACTTCGCTCCAAAAAGGTGGTCTCAAAGATACGATCTTTTCACCCGATCATCCAAAATTGAGCGACTTGATAAATGGTGAATTGGAAAGAGTAGACAGTTATCTCTCTGTTAGAGGTTCAGAAATTTGTATGTGTTATTCAGTCTTTGAGATATTCGACTTCAAACTTCCCAAAATTGAGAACTTTGCAATCGCCTAGCGGGCGACGTTTAGTCACGAATCCTACAAAAATGGGCGATCAGCACTACAACATCATTCTCAATCATCATGCAAAGTTTCAGAACGTTTTCTGGCTCGAAACTCGACTTATTGAGCCATCTTTCCTGCTATTATAATGATTGAAATCGTTGCCCGGGCTTTTCGCAAAATGACAAAATCCGTGGCATTCCGCAACTAGAGATATTTTAATTATCAAACTCATCAAACATGGTGTTTTTGAAAGACAAACCAGACCTACTATAACAAGAAAAATTCACTGATAGGGTCTATAGCTTTTTTCTGTCAAGATTTTGTTCAATACTGGGCTAAATTACAATTTTTGTAATTTCTCGAAGAAGCCAAAAAACATTATTTAACAGTACGCCAAACATTTGTTTTCGTGGCGTGACGCGATCAGAATTCCGTGAAAAAACGTTGTGTCCCAGAGAATTTCGAGAAAAATGTTTTTTCAAAGAGAAAAATAATTTTTCTATCTCGATAATTCTGTGGCACTTCGCAAAAAATCAATGATCCGAGATTCCTTGTTTTTTCAATTTTCTGAAAGAATTTTTTTGACGTGTCCTAGGGCTCCATCAGCCTTATTATTTCTCCTCACTAAGCCTTCTCGTAACCTCTACCATGCATGCAACGATGAATCGCGATCCATAGTAGAGTGGGGGAATGATCCAGGGGCAAAAAAACGTACCATTTCGCATTCGGGAAAGATCAAAGATGTGGCAAAATGCTTCCTTAAATCTCTCCAAGTAAAAAAAAACTTTGTTTTGAAGGGCGCGCTATTTCCTTCACAAAAAGAGCGGGCGCACGTCAAGAAAAAATAAAACAAAAGCGCTCAAGCAATGAAAAATTCTTGGCATTCTGTTTGATCTCAAAGACAATTTTTTGCGATAAAGATAGCCTGATTACACGATGAAGATGGGGTAGAATGGGGTTATTGCATACATAAATTTGAAGCTGGGCTCCTGCTTAACCTGAACATATATATTTCATATAAAAAATCGGTCGTCTTCTATCTGTTTGAAGCCTAAACTAACAACGCCTAAAAAATGTTGCGATTTCGAGGATTTCTCTAAGATTTTCCCTCGCCCCTATTTGAAGTTTCGTGGAAACATAGTCTGGAACAAGGCGGATTTTTTGAGCCTAAAACGAAAAAAATCAAATGAGCCAGTTTCGAGATAGAAAATCTCTTCATTTTGCGCAATATTTCGCCTTTCCTCTGACCTCGTCCAAAAAAACTGTCATTGAGACGGATTTTTTGGACACTTCCGTAAGCGGAAACAGAATGCCAACTTTCGTGTTGATACATAACCCTTTGAGCGCAAAATCTTGACGTGGGGCGCGCTTATGATTGTGAAATCGGAGTTTTTCACTTGGAGAGGGAGACATTTTGCGACATTTTTGATACTTCCCGGATGCAAAGTGGAACGTTTTTTGCCCCTGGATCAGGTCCCCCACTGTATTGTTGACCCGAAAAGTTGTAGCATCTAAAATCTTTTCTTCAATTGATAATTCTTGTGGACTCAACGTCTAAACAACTCACAGGGGAAGTACTCCAAGTGTGACGCTCAGATTTTGATGAAACTTGGCACAAATTCAGAATAATTTTTTCTAAGATATATGCGAGAATCCTAGCTCGCGCTTTGCAGAAACCACCGAGATTTTTAGATCGAAAGTCGGCGAAAATTTAGGACTTTTTGCCGAATTTCCGCACGAAAAGTTTCATGCCTATTTCAACTGTAAAGGATAATGTTTCTACAAAAAATCAAATTTTTCCGCACGAAACTGCCAAAGTTATGGCCAAAAAACGGTTTCCTCTCTGACCGCTCTCCACGTTTAGCGTGCTCTCTCGGCGGCAAAAATCGTTCGATATCTCGGCAACGCAAGCAAAGCGCGAGCTAAAACTTTCAGGAATTGATATTTAGTCCAAACCCGACGTGTGTGCAAAATTTAAAGAAAATCTGAGCGTCACACTTGGAGTACTTCCCCTGTCAGGAATGCTGGATTGTAACATCAAAGCTTGACCAAATCAAGTTACGTTTCATTTACAAATTCCCCCTAATACGGTCGGAGAGGTCAATGCTCGATTTAATCGAGACGATTTACCTTCATTTTCCTCTTCCTTTACTGGAAATTCAATACCATTACTTTTGCAATTACAAACCGCGCCGCATATCGCTCACTTTGAGTGACATTTTAATCGCCTCTCCCGGGGCCTGCTCAATCTTTTCCTCATACAAAAGACGGGCGTGGGGAACGATTTGGAACGGTGATCATTTGTAGGGGAGCAGGATCGGGGAAACCTTTTTTCTTGGCGGGATTTTATTTCTGATTTCGTCCGACGAAACGCAATCTTTTTTCACATTTCCACGTTGTTATAAATGAAGCCCCGCTTTCTCGCGTTTCTAATTGGGGTGGAAGGGTAATTGCGGAAGTGAAAGTAGAGAGTTTGGTGGGTGTTAACGGCAGGGAATGGGGGAGAATATTAGAGATAGTATCGAGAGGTTACCATGGAGTTTGTTTTGGAGTATGTTTAGGTTGTTGCTCTTTGTCAATCCAAGGAGAGACTAAAAGTTTTGCCGTTGTCATTTAGGGATTTTCTTGTCTTAATCGTAAGTGTGCACTAGTTCGGGATGATTTTTAAAATATGAGCTACTTCCGGCTTTTCGTCCACTTGCCCTTACCACTTTGGAAAAGTCAAAAGCTCAACGAATCTTGTAAAAGATAAGACTTTTTGTGCTGCAGAATAAGTTTTGTTTTAGCCTTTTGCAAAAATCCCTTGAGCCCTCGTTCCATCCATTATGATCTCTTTTGCAAACATCCAGCCAAAAATACCGCAATCTCTAAAAAAGTTGTACTATGACCCACCATGTTGTCCATCACTCCTTTCACGATTGTTTTTGTCTGATATCGCAAAATTTTCTGCGCCTTTGCACCTGACCAATGTATTCTAGCTACCAAGGTTCCTTTCCATTTCTCTAATTGAATTCAGCATTCGAAGAAAAAACTTTGATTCAATTTTGATTTTATTAATGTGCAGAATTGTTATCTGAAAGATTATGGTATATAATAGGGGGGAATTGCAAGGTATTAAGACAAATTAGGATTAATGAAAAATAAGCGATTTTATTTGCGTTATCCACTCCAACCAAAAAATCAATTCGAAAAGAGAGATAAGAGAAATAATATAATATTTACTATAGAATTTGATGAAACAGGTTCATAAAACGACATTTTTAACCCGAGATTTTTTGTTTGAAAATTACCTTGTAATGATACCTTTTCGGAGAGCATAAATTGGCATTTTATCGATTTTCCAAAATTAAGACAGTACGTAGAAAGGCAATATCCATGGAATTTATATCTGGTCCTAATCAGAAATGATCTCTGCAATGTAGATACAGACTTTTAGTACTCTAAATCCCTGTAATTTAATCCTTATTTCTTTCCTGTTTTCATTTAATTCCACTTCGTAATATCCTGTTCACTAACTCAAATTAAAAAGGGACATAAATCTCTTCTTTGTCAGCTGTTTGTTAACCTCGCATGTTATCACTTATATCCTCAGAGAATCGGGCCAAATGATAAGGGCTGAACACACGTTTCCTCTCGGGTAATCACGTGTCAGGAACCCGTCAATCTCGTTGTTTTTTGTTTTCCAAGTTCAAGTTGAATGAGAATCGTTCTATTTTTTATTTCTCCCGTTTTTGCAAAAGACTGAATATGTTTATGCGACTAAACAAGGTCACTGTATATTGGGGAATGTACTGCAGAAGGCTTGTGATTTTTTTGACAATGCCATAGGAGGGTTCTTTATGTTTATATAAACAAAAAAGTACGGCAATACTGAAGTGTTGGATATTTTTAAAAGTCGACGAAAATTACAGAATCGTATTTTACAAATATTTTTTGTTGCATATCAAATTAGTGGTCTTTCTTAGCGAAAATGCCGCGCCTTCCCGTGGTTTCCATGGAGGACTTGGATCTATTTCCTCAAAATATTCTGAAACTTCGATATCCACTCGATCGACGAATTGACACCACTGAAATTGATGAGGTAAGCTGCACAATCTTGCAAGAAAATCGTGTGTAATTCAACACAAAAATTTTGATGTAGGAGTATTAAAAAAATTTACTGCAAATTTAAAATCGGCTTTACAGTTTAGCTTCAATCATGTACTACTTTTTAGTCCGAATGCATACTTATTTTGTAAAATACGTGTCCTCAATCCATGTTTCCAATTTTAAGTTTCTCCGCCAACATGATCCAATTTGGTGGTCTCGATTGGTGATCGCTGCTCGTGGCTTCTTGGTGAACATGCAGGATTACACCGAAGAGCAGATCTTCAACTTGGACGATGCGTTTATCGAAATCCATCGGGTTTTTGTAGCTAAAAATACCATTCCTACCCCGCTCAGAGTATGATTTTTATATTTATATTATCAATTCATTATGTCTAATCATCTTATGTCATCATTTTTCAGTTCATCCAAAACCTCAACACTTTATATTCTGTTCCAAATTACCTTGAGGTTCTCCAACGGCTGGACCCGAGCAAGAATGGATACCTGGAAGAGAATCCATTCGAATTTGAGCCGCAGAGATCGGCGTTTACGCAAATGTTTGGGTCGCCGGAGAGATATCAGAACCTAGGAGTAGCAAATAGTCAAAAGCTGGCGTACGATGTCTTCTTCAGGCTGCTAAAATTGTGCTTCGAAAGGTTCAGAGATCCCAATTCGACGGTTAGAAAAGGAATTAAATTCAGTACGGTGAGTTTTGTGAGGATTTAAAAAAAAGGTCGAGTTTGTGCGGCATGTCAATTTCTGAAAATTTTTGCTTGCGCTTTGCAGGCAACGTCGAGATACTAAACGATATTTAGTGTCGAGAGAGTATGCAAGACGCGGAGGGCGGTCAAATATCAATTTTTTCCATTTTTGGCAGAAAATTCTCGGTCGTTTCTGCAAAGGATAAACTAGCAATCTCACATAGGTCTTCTTGTTATGAAAAATCACTCTAAATTCTCGCCCGATTTTATCGAAATGAACGTCACGCTTGGAGTACTGCTCCTGGCCGTTAGTTTTGTTGTATACTATGTAGGGGTTCCACTGTATGAAGGAATCCCATGCTTTTTCTAAAACGAGCTAGTTTGCAGTGCCCAATGCGAAGCTTGAATCTTCATGTCTCCCGTTAAAGTCCCTGCACAGCTCCTTCGAAAAGCCATTTTCCCGGCTTGAGTGGCGTTCTGATTTATCGTTTGTTTTCGTGACGGGACGCAATGATAAATTCGGGGCGAGGTTTTCTCTTTTCAAAATAAATCAATTTTTCATTTCAGGACCCAGAATGGCAACCCGATAATCGGGTGGTCCTTTTCCAATCATTTGGTCAAAACAATCGTACCTGGGTGCTGACTGATTTCGACCGTCATATAATCTCCCATTGGCGGCCGAATGGAATTCAAATAATCTTTGGCGACGCTTATTTGGAGAAGAAACATCGTGGTGGCTTCAATTTGTGTGACTTTTGTGGAATGCTGGAACAAGCAGTCGGTCAATTTCCAGTCTACCAAAAGCATCGGTAAGAGACAGCCAGTAGATTTAAAAAATTATTTTAACAGTTTCTGCTCGGAACAATGCTTTGCCTACTTGTTGGACGGCAAGAAATAGCTTTCTACTGCCCTCAAGGGCAGTAAACGATCAACAAGACCGAATTTAATGAAGCGTTTGTAATTTTACCATCGCATTTAGCGACTCAATGGGCTCACTTTTATTTTCACAATCAAATACGTGTACATAGTTCGGTAATTACAAAACGGATTTACCATAATCACAATGGCTGCAATTTACGGATAATATTATACATATTTTTTTATATTGTTTTCTAATAAACTTCCAAATGTTTTTTGTATTAGACAGACGAACATACAACTAACCGAAGCATCACCTGCAGTAAGCAGTCATTTTCTTAGTACACAAAGTGTGAGGGTCAGGAGATTTATTTGGGAACAATTATGATTCCAGACGGTGCCGGTTACCCTGAGACATTGCTTTAGACGGTAATAAGTACTCTTCATGCTGACAATGAGTTAGCTATCTTCCGGGACTCTAAGCACATATATAACGTTGGGGAGGTAGTCACCGATCCAAAGGAGAAAGAATTGAGGGTTTATTGGGACGAAATGAAGCACGCACACATAACCGAAATCCGGAGACAGAATTAAAAGATATTGGGATTGTCTGTTGTATTTATACTTCCTAATTTATTCAAATTTCCTGGAAACTTGGGTGAGAACCCAACATGCCGCGGGGGCCTCCGGCTGGGTCATGGTTCGTGGAGGGTTCGGACGCCAGGAAATGGAGACCATCAGGGGTGGTGAAGGAGTCGGATGAGGGATCCGATGAAATTGGGGAGTTGATGGGAGCTGGATAGCCCATGGCGAGGTCCAAGGAATGGGGGTCCCCCCGGATTCAAGAGTGTCTAGGAATCGCCCTTTTTCGTTCGTTGGGATAGATTGCTGTGGTCCGTTTGCCGTGTTAAAAAACAAAGATTGTGTAAAACGTATCTGTTAGTAATCACTTGTCTGTCAACCCGCTATACTCATCTCGAGCAGGTTGAGAGAGGGACTGCACAGTCATCGGTTTTGGCCTTCCGCAGGTTCGTAGCGTTATTCGGGCTGCCGTTAGAAATTCTATCTGATCATGGTCGGAATTTCGAACTGGGCGCGAAGGTGCTAAAGAGATTCTCTGGACAAATTGCCAACCTAGGCCCAATACGATGGCAGTTTACAACGCCGTATAGTCCATGGAAAGGCGGCGTGTATGAGAGAATGATCAAACTCTTCAGAGAAGCCCAGCAATACAGTAACTCCTCATTGTTTGAGACCGGTTGATTTGGTTTTTCCGGAGAAGCGAGAAGGCTTCCCATTATTTGTTGAACAAACCGATCCCTCTGATCCCGATTATGTGCCATATGCTCCGCCTCAGTCTGATCAGATCGCTTAAGATTAGTCCAGATCGATGTTCCGCGTCAATAGATTTTGGAAGAGTTTCCATCAGAGTTACCTTAGATACCTTCAGACGGTTGGCAAACCGCGAACTTGGGTGAGAACCCAACAACATAGAACTATTGGCTAGGGGAGGATTTCGTATATATTGTTGGCCAGATACGCGAAAGGTCGTGGTAAGTGCGTTCTTATGGTTCACACATTCTATTTGGGTTTGTTTGTTCAAAATATTAGGTATTATGTCATGAGTACATTAAGTGTTTATGGCTTGGTTGGATACTGCAGTTAGTTAAGCCTGTGTGTGTTTATTTCTGGCGTGTCTGAGTGCACGGTTTCTTTGAATATTTTTTTGACCTGGGGTACAGATAGGTTACATGAAGAGCATTGATTTACCACTGGTTGTCTTATACTAGTCGCGACATAAAGTCCTGACACATTTGCACAGTGCATTTTGTTTTTCTTTCGCGCCCGTCGCTCCAATTCCCCGTTTTTGCACTAGCGACATGCACTTTCGCGCGAACTTGCCACTTTTCTCGCGCGACACCCGCGACAAAATGTGTCAGGACTTTATGGCGCGACTAGTATGCGGTTAGCAAACTCCAGAGGGACAATTTTCGCACGACATCGAATTAGACTTGATATTGGCTGACGGCGCTAATGAATTTGAATAGAAACTATGTATTCGTATAAAGAGATATGCCGCTGTTGACGGCGAATTGATCGCCTTGGTGAGCTAAATTTAGGTTGACTTTCGATGAGACAACAAGAACTACGATGTCTGTAGTGAGTCTAACTCCTTATATGTTTTGGTAGAGGCTTATAAGGTCAAAGTTTTATCAAGCGCATTACGGGCTCATTCTGACCAATTCCTACATCCTTTTCCCCCTCCGTAGGAAATTTTTCCTACAATTTTTGGAATAGCACCTCCCTTGGAGACTGTTTGTTCACAAAAGTATAAAAGAATTACTAATTTCTTATGACCTTTGAACGCATTTGTCGAATTTGTTGATTTTGAGTTAGGAAACGGGCCATCAAATGACGAGCTTTCCACTGCCCGAATTCCTGTTTTTTTGTTGTCAGAAAATGAAATTTTTGGCCAAATGGCCATGTTTGTGTTGGTGCTGGGCTGAAATACGACTTCAATATCATCTACAGAATGTTTTTGAACATGTATGATTATTTTTACGTCCAGTGGCACTCCTTCTTTTTAATGGCTTCCAAAAATTTTATTTGCAGAAAACAAAAAAAATAATAGTTCCGCCGTCTGAATCTACAATTTGGTTTTACCACATACCGAGTCTGGTTAGAACTTCATCCTGGCAGACGAAAATTAGGTTACGGAATTAATGATTCACTCTCTACTGACCCCAAAGCGCACTTTGACTTCGGCAAACAACACATGAGCCGTCTAGCTTCCGGCCAGTCCAACTTACTATCACGTGAATTTCCTCGATTACTCAAGATTCCTTTATCAAGAGAATTTCAAAATAAGCGATCGGCAGCAATCAGTAACATTATTAGAAAGTGTCAAAGTATAGCTCGGTCTCTTTTCGCATTGATTGTTTCATTTTTTGGAGTTTAAATTTAGTGATCGGTCACCAAAGTGGACTCCTCAGCGTTATGAAGAGTCTTCAAAAGGGGAACCATTCGAAATCGTTGGAAAAAAGGATACTGACGTTATTTGCAGTACCGACTTCCTTATAGGGCTCGAATGCATTGTTCTAGAAAATTTCGAAGGCTTCCAATGGGCGGTTGTGAGGTCTCGAGTACTTTCAGGAAGGCGGCTTATGATAAACAGGTTGTTTGGAGTGCAGTCTGCAGGTTGTCTTTATATTCGACGTCTGATCTGTTATGTCATTATGTCTGTCTGTACAACTTTCGTAAAACTCTGAGTGTCGCGCTTGAGGAACTTCCTCGTTTAGTTGAAGTCGGTGATTTTGTTTTACAGAAGCTCCGCTTTTATCATCTCTTTGTATATACGAAAAGACCAAGTAACTCGTTTCTTTTATTTATTTTTCATATTTTCTCCCTACTCTTTTGCAATCGATAAAAGACCACCTTCTTTCGAACTACTTGAGCGATTCGCTCAACTTCTGATAAGCATGACGCTCATCTTTATTACTTTTTTCTAGATTGTTCTTGGCGCTGTAAAATCAGTTTCAAGTGCAGTGAAGTTATAAGAGCAAGATACGGCTCTTAGACGTGTTTTCGTTTCGGTTTTGATTAGATAATCTTATTTTAACTGCGATCGAATGCATTTCTCTCGGCAAGGGTTCTTTATGGAAAGATGCCATAATAGTATGCCCTTTATGGCTGTCCATAATGGTGTCTACCCAGAATGAACGGACACGCACTTTTTGTTCAAAACAACTCCTAAGAGGCTTAGCGCGCTTGAAGCGATCGTGACCGGCGATTTCCCGTTTGAGGGAGTTTGATTCTTATTGATGGTTGGTTTACGATTGCGATATCTTTGCAGAAGCGATTAATTTGCAATTTGGAAGTTGAATAAAGTGAAAGAATGGCCACTGAAATCTCACATTCCGCCTCGATGCCGGTGATTAGTGTTTCACAGGTGAGGACTTTTTTATTTATTCCTAGGGGCAAAAAAGTTGCGACTTGCTTCCAGAAAATTCCCGGTTTATTTTTAGACCAAAATATTGATGTTTCGCGCAGATACCGCTAAAAATACAGCCTTTGAGACAAATTTAATAAACACGTGATAAAAAAATCTAAAGTAGCCAGCATGATACTTGATTTCACAATTTTTTGAATATCGTTGAACTCTTTCTCTGTTTTCTTGTCTTCGTAGTAACCAGAAACACGGAAATTTTGTAACCAAGGAATGATAAACGATTCTCTCTCATTCTAACGCTTGCGGGAAGTAGGCATGAGACTTAAGAAAATATTTCTGAACTTTATTTCGTGTATTCGGCCGGCTGACAAAGGAAAAAAAGAAAAATGTGAATGTCAGTGTTTGGTAAGACATATAGACTAGATAAAAACTGCAGGGGATGTTCAAAATATTTCTTGTAGATTATAAATGTTATATTATATGCATGATTGCTTTCAGCCGATTGCTCGGCCATCGCAACCGACCCACAGCGTGTCGACTGCCCATTTCTCCGGCATCGACCAATTTCCCCTGCCTTCGAGTAGACAGCTAACGGACTGGAAGGAGGAGGACGACGGATGTGACGAAGAACAGGAATTCGACTTTACACCCGAACAGGAGATCTTGCAGAAGAAAAAACGTAAGTGTGCTGAGTATCAACTGATTTTAGAATTTGAAAAAAGAATGTTGAAAGGACTTAGTTTTGACTATTGAAAATTTAAAAATGTTTTAAAACCTTTTGCCAATACAATTGACCATGTTTCAGGCAAACCCTCCAAATGCCAAACCAGCAACTTCCTTGAAGTTGAGGGCACCCTTACCCATGGTTCGTCCACATCGTCCATGCTGGAGGAAGCCGAAAACGATGAAGACACCATGATCAATGCTTTAGATGAACTGGACAAAGAGGACGTGGAAGAATACAGTCATAGTGAGCACGTTAAGAACGATCCGGAATCCAAACAGAATCATTAAAATATCGGTGTTTTGTAAAATACGAATTATTAGTACAGTAGTAAGCAACAGGGTCTAATTGTAAGCTTCTTGAATTTTTTTTATTTCTTAAACATTTTGATTGAAAAAAAATAAAATAAAAACGGATATGCACACTGTAATAAATGAGTATCGATCAAGATAATAACTATCAGTAATATCTGAAAAAATCAGTTGACATTTTGCGTTGTTGTAGTCAGATCAATGTAGACGATAATTTAAGCCGATCACGGTTACATTAAAACATGAAAATTTGCATCACAGTCGAGTCGAATATTCTGACGTAGCAGCGCTTGAATCCACGGGCATGTCTTCCCAATCTTTTATCGACCATTTTCTTTTCGTCTTTCGTCACCAAATCCGTCGCAATGAAGCCCATTTCGACGGGGAAAGCGAGGGTGCAGTCGGTTTTTCGGCCAGTGATATCGACCACGCAAAGATCGCTGAGTTTGTGGAGTTGGGACTGAAATAATAGAATGTGGATTGGTGAGAATGGCTTTTTGGTAAAATACGTGAATTGAAGTTAAAACAAGTTTTGCGAGGGACTCGAGCTTTCAGATTTGCCTTGTGCACATAAGACCAGATGTCATAGTAGAGCCATGAAACACACACTAACCATATGTTGTTACCCTTATCGCGAATATTAAATTTCAGGAAAAAAAAATTTGATTATTGGCCTACTGTAAGTGTACTGTAGCTTTCCCGCATTTCCAGGATCTCATCTACCAGAGGTTGGATTGTCTCCGGACTTTCTCTGTGTTATAGAATGGACAATTCTAAGAAACTTTCGTGTTGACACCTTTCTCCTAGGATTTCTGGAAGTATGTGAAAAAAGAAAGATACGACCGATTTTTCAAGATTTTTTCGAAGAAGTTTGAATAGCCCTTCAAAACGCGGTTACCATAACGCTTTGCATTGTAACGCAGATTTTGTTCAAGTTTACATCAATTTATGATTAATCTCTTACAAAGAATATGTAAGCCTTCAGCATGCATTATCACAAAATTTACAGTGACTTTATTTTCGATCATTGCCAAAAAGCTATTTTTCTAGTGACATATAAAAATAAAGCATTTCCTAAAAATAATCTCTTCCTCCGTTATCTCCTTATTTTCTATGGTTTCTCGCACTAGGATAGCACGTCTTACAAGGCTTGTTTTTCAGCGCATACCATTTTTGTTAGGCTTGTTTTTGAGCGCGTACCAAAAGTCCCATGAGTTGATATTGAGCCACACTTTACCTGGCACATTTATTAGACCTTTTGGAAAGTCGCTGGGCTATTTTTGGCGTTTTGCACTGTACGACAAAGGTCAGAGTGCGGGCAACAGCCGGAAAAAAGCCTATTATAGGACACAAAAATCAAGAAATTGCGTAGTGCAAAAAAAACTTTTGTTTTCTCACTGCCAGCGCCGCCGACTTTCCGGAATGATTAGTAAAAGAGCTTTGATGCTTTCATTTTTATTTATTATATTTCGTATATATTTATATTTAATTTGTAAAAACTATTCATACCGCTCAACTTACTTTCACCGGGCTGACCATTGTTCCATCAAAGTCATCGCATAGTTTGGCCAAAGACGGGATCTTTATAACGCCGTCAACGGCCATTATCACCAAGCCCGAACATATTATAATCCGCATCCATGAACACCTCATTCTGACCTAGTTTGGAACTGGTCGGAACGCCGGAACTTGTCTTTTATGGACTAGAATCAACTTTAAAATAAAAGCGGCTCATTTTCCGCGAAAACATTTCGTTTTCGTTTAAAATTCTTGCGACTTTCACCTCGGTTTAAACCGAAATTCGCGCAGGGAGGGAGAAAATACGAAGGAATATTGAGGGAAATCACGGAAATTGGGTGAGGACACATCGAATAAAAGGAGGGATCTTAAATTGACACTATTTCAGCGGAATTTATGCAAAGATTTCTAAGTACGATGGCTAGAAATGATTCGAGAGAAGTTCTGTGAAACCTGTAAGATGTATGTAAGATTTTCACAAAGCCTGTTGGAAATTTAGGTTTACTCTTCTAAGCCTCCCAGCTCCGAGTAGCAAAAGATGTTTTAAAATAAAGATTAAGGTTTTCAAAAATTCTACGTATTTTTTGATCAGTCCGATTTGTTTCCAATTTTTAATTTGAACTACCCTTGGGCATCCTAATAAAGTGTTGCAAACAGTTTTGTCGTTTTGAAACTTTTTTTGTGGTTGATATGCGACACGGCTTCTACTGTAAAGAATGAACTTTTCCACTATAAATGAAAAATTTCCTTTCGAAGATGGCAGAGATGCAGCAAAAAATGTTTCAGTCTTGGTCAACGAAGATGATTAAATTTCTCGACTGTCCTTGCAAACCGCGGCCTAAAACGCTCAGGGAATCATATGTGGCCTAGGCCAAAATATGTGCCGAAAATTTAAATAAATCTAACCGTCGCACTTTCTGTTAGCTATAAAAATTCGTCTTTTCCTGTAAGTCGACTCAAGCCTTTCGTCAGTATTAATAAGACCCCCTAAGATCCACCAACCCTTACCATTCCTGGTCTCTTTGCTTCCCTCTTCCAGTTACCCCCACATACTGTTTGTTTTGTATTCGATGAAACCCAGGAATTGAGGCGCCCACGCACTCAATTAACTCGCTGACGCGCTGACCAGCCCATCAATAAATGGCTTCTGTAACCTTCCACAAAACCCCCACACTCACAAAGTACTGCAGAATTCAGGGCCTAAAACAAAGAGTTCCCATATAAAAGGAGTATATAAAAACAGGATCAACGTATTACAATTATGTATAAGGTTATTAGCGCTAAATATAAAAACCTTAGTGACTACTGATTAATAAACCAGAATAGCTGAGAAAAACGAGGAAGTCAGTAAAAAGTAGTAAATAAATGCTACTTTTTAGCAAAACCGAAAGCTTAATGTGTTAAAAAAAACTTTAATGCGCTATAAACGTTTTTACAACGGGTCACAACCCCCGGAAGCTGTACAGAGTTTGTGCGGAGGGACATGACGTAAACACACACAAAAAACAGATCTTGTTCAGCTAAACGATGACACAGAAAATTACCAGAAGACCCAAAAAGCGAATAATTTTCTGAATCCTTAATTCATTTTTATTTGTGTTTCCTTTTTATTTCCCTTTCAGACATCCCACTCAGCTCCTTTGGAGACCTTGGGAGAAGCCGCGAAACGAATGGGAGATCAAGCAGACTAGGGGAATTAATGGATCAAGCAAAAAGAGACGTCATTACCATTCTTTATAAACATAAGTTGCAAAACTAAGCTCTTCAGAGAAAATCGTGGCTAATTTGTCTCAATAATAACATATTCATATTTCAAAAATATTTCGAATTTAAAAAAAATCAAATTTTATTGAATGAAATACCTCTCTATATACAGTGACGTTATATACATCAATAAATACAAATTTTGTACAGTTCCCCACGTATTCGAGTAGAATCCAAGTTTCGTGGAATTGAATACGATCGTAATACTCTTATGGGTCTCACTCGAACGACGTAATCTCATCATCAAAAACCTTGTGGTCGTAAAATTCCATTTCCGGAATCTCTTTGTTGCTCAGCGTTGGCTCAAAGTCGAATGTCAGCTTTTCAGCCTTGATGGTGGCTGAAAAAAGGAGAGAAAGTAAGTTGGTAGAAGGTTTGTGAACACAGTACGATTAAAAAATTTTTTAGCTATGAAACATTGGTCGTTTAACTCACGACGTGTTTGAAAAGTGTAAAAATTTGCATAAACTTGAATTACAGTGCACGGCATTCTGTACTTTTGGGACACAACCGGTCTCCATGATTTTTTTCTATTTTTTCAAAGTAGACCTCCTTCTTTAATACATTGCTCGCTAGCCGTTGAAGCTAGAGACTTGAAAATTGGCATGGGTATAGAGTAAATGTTCCGCTTCCAGAATATATAAATATTGTAATGAACCCCGCGCTGTAAGCTCCACAATAAGATGCGAAAATATTTCATTCTTAAAACTTCTTGCACCTAAAAGGTCATTATGCAAGATCGAAATGACAAATTTTAAAATGCTGATGTGTGCAGAATTTTTTTTCTATCAGATACTTAAATTTCGTGGAGTTGTATACGAAAATGGCTGTGCTACGTACGAAAAACTGAGTTTCATAGTGTGTTTTTTTGAAATTTTTGGAATATCTCTGCCCTCAGGGCACAGATAAATGAAGTTCCGACTCACGTTTGTTGCCGATGATGACATATGTAGCCTTGCCAAATTACAATGTTATATCTCCAAAATCACGGGAGCTATTCGCTTTTCAACTTTTTTTTATCAAAAATGGGCTTCAGCCCATCTTTGTGGGGGGATAGTGAAGGTAGCGACTTGAAACTTGGCACTATGGTAGTCTATTTTGTTCCCAATAGCACCCGTATGATCAATTTGCTCAGTTCCGCTTGTTGCCCTGAGGGCGATTTTTTTCGCACGGTGCACCAAAAATCGACCGAAATTTCCGGCCGCCCTGGCGGCCGTAATTTTAAAGATACGAAGAAGATGTAAGCGGGTAATTTGTAGAGCTCTTCGAGCTCTACAATCCATAGTTGGACATTCTTGACATCGTTGTTGTACATCAGTGAGAAAAAAAGTTGAAAAGCGAATAGCTCCCTTGATTTTGAAGATATAACATTGTAATTTGGCAAGGCTACATATGTCATCATCGGCAACAAACGTGAGTCGGAACTTCATTTATCTGTGCCCTGAGGGCAGAGATATTCCAAAAATTTCAAAAAAACACACTATGAAACTCAGTTTTTCGTACGTAGCACAGCCATTTTCGTATACAACTCCACGAAATTTAAGTATCTGATAGAAAAAAAAATTCTGCACACATCAGCATTTTAAAATTTGTCATTTCGATCTTGCATAATGACCTTTTAGGTGCAAGAAGTTTTAAGAATGAAATATTTTCGCATCTTATTGTGGAGCTTACAGCGCGGGGTTCATTACAATATTTATATATTCTGGAAGCGGAACATTTACTCTATACCCATGCCAATTTTCAAGTCTCTAGCTTCAACGGCTAGCGAGCAATGTATTAAAGAAGGAGGTCTACTTTGAAAAAATAGAAAAAAATCATGGAGACCGGTTGTGTCCCAAAAGTACAGAATGCCGTGCAGTGGGGAACCAGAGTGGCAAAAAATGTACCATTTTGCATCCGGGAAGCATCAAAAATGTGGCGAAATGCTTCCCCCGTCAAGTGAAAAACCTTTGATTTCAAAAGCGCGCCCGTTCTTTTTGTAAGACAAAGGTTTTTTCACTTCAAAACCAAGTTTTTTCATTTGAAGAGGGAAGCATTTTGCCACATTTTGGATACTTCCGAGATGCAAAATGGTACATTTTTTGCTACTCGATCAGGTCCATTCACTGTACTTTTCCAAGCCGTGGGCTAGATTTTCAATCCGCGCTTTACAGAAACAGCCGAGATTTTTAAGCCGAAAGTTGAGCGCCTTTTTTGAATTTCGACATAAAAAATTTTAGTAGCAATTTCTCTCCAAGAGGTCAATGTAACCATCAGCAAATATCACTGAACCTAGTTCATGCCTTTTATAAACTTACTGACATAACATCTCCTCTTCCCGGGCCATGGATCACCCAATCTGATCCTCCCAATTATCCCATCAATTCCCTCCGTTTCCTCTTGAACCATAAATTTTGAGCCATCGATTCTGGCAATCATTGCGCAATGGCGGCGATCTCTCTTCTCTACATGCATAATACAGGCCGGTTTCTCGTAATTTTCAGCGGATAAAACAAGCTTTATCAAGTTCTCCCTGTCACAAAATCGCTTTAAATCGATCAAAGACGAGGTCGAAAGTGACATCAGAAGAAGGTATATTACACATTTGATCATCGCATTTGATTTTCGACCTCTTCAAGTCACCAACGAAAAATTTCTGAAACAAAATAATCATTTTTAGGCCCAAAAATAACCTTATTTGAAGTGAGATGGTCGTCTTTAAAACAATGAACCATGAAAATATCTGTTTTTCAATAACTAAACCCTTTTACAATATGACAAACCACATCACCCGGGGGTTTGTTATCGGAAACCGCGATTTTTGTACAGACAAACAAAAGTGATTCCGGAAATTGGGAGAATCGCAGTAAAATAATCAAAAAGCGGATGGAAAAACATAATTAATGACCTCAAGGTAGCCACAGTAGAACCTAGTGGGTCAGAAAGCATATTATTTTTGGTTTTAAACTAACTTCCCAAAAAAACCTAAACCCAAACAAGTCAAAAATTGTTTGAAAAAAAAATGATTTTTAAAACAAAAGTCGGTTTCATTTTCATTATTCACACAAAAAATGCACAGCCTCCTTCTCGGATATTGTATTAGCACCCTTGGAGTGTCGATTGTCATGTTTCTTCTGGCTTTTGCAATAGGTTTTCGCACATTTCAACGGGAAATGCGGAGGATGAACGATGCTGAACAGGCCGCTTTTCATGCGTTGGACAACGTAGGTTGAAGAAATTTTTCAAAAAAAAAATCGATGATGTCAGAGCAGACTTAGATTAAAGATTTCCGGAGAAATTTTTGAGTTTTTTTAGATCGCGTTATACAGAAACCGCCGGGAATTTCCATAAAAACCCTGAAATTTGTTTCTATAAAAAATTCAACGGAAAAATTGGGCCCTAATTGATTTTGGCAACGAAAATATTCTTTTTCAACGTTTCTAGGTGATTTTTTGACCGCGTTATGCAGAAAACACCCGTACCCTCGAGTTTTTTTAAACTCTAAAACACAAAGACCTCTTAAACCTAACCTATCAATCATTTTCTCATCGAATTCATTTCCAGACGTTACGTTCATTGATTCCAAATAGATTGGAGCATCTCTTCACTCACAATCAGACACCCGAAGCTCTCAAAAATGTTGATGGTCATTCCAAAAAAGAATAAGGTCCTATAAACTCACCAGCTCGTTTCTCAACAAATCCATATGATCTATCAGTAACTTTGTTTCTATTAATAAAAAACAACAATTTTGAAAATTTCATTTATATTACACTAGCCAACAAATAACAGCCTATAAATGCAGAAACTCTAAGAACCAATTCTTTTCAGGTCGTCTCTGCCAAGAATAAAGTGTGAGTTGGTGACATGGATATCGATTTTACATCGGTTGGGAGGTATACTTGCAGTGGGAAAAGCTGATCCTTCGGGTTTCCCAGGGCAAGCGCTTGATGTCGATTTGCTCCCCAAACAAAAAGTTGGTTAGCTTCATTGATCGCTGCCATCGTCGCGTTGCCAGCGAATACTCGTCGGACCTAAAATACGAAGTATTTGCACTATTCACTTTAAAGGGGAACACTTGACCCAAAAATACTTTTTGGTCAAGTCTTCCTCCCACTGCCAAAAAATTACAATACATCTTTGATCTCACAGGCCGATAAAAATCAAATTTTTAACCCCTTACCTTTGAATTTCTGCCTCGAGCATCAGCAAAAAGGTTTGGCGACAGTTCAATCGGCCGTTTCGACTCCTTCAACAATGGGCCCGATCCCAAAATCATTGATCCCCATGTGTAAACAGTCCCATTTTCCGTCGATACGATGCAAGAAGTAGCTGTGGCATGCGCGGAACGGACTGGGCTATCAAATTTGAATGGAACTTGAAATGGATAACATAACTGAGGCTCTTCTGTGAATTCGGCCAATTGATTGTACTCATTTTGTCCCCACATGAACAGATTGCCTAAACAGAAAAATAAAATAATAACGTTTCCAAAAAAAAGTTAAAAATTTTGTCTAAATTAATCATATTCTCAATAGACCTTACCATCATAATCGACTGCCATAACAGTATCCGTTGAGCCGCCAACAAGTCGAATTGGCGGCAAATTGACCTTCGTAGGCAAAGACTCAATATCCATATTACCCGTTCCCAATTGGCCATCAGTTCCCAACCCAAACGAATACAAATCTCCATTTTCCAACAGAACAAAGGAGGAATCCAGCAAACAATGGACTTGCTTCACAGGAGAATGATTAGGAACAGGCACGCGAGGAAGGGAAATGTCACTAATCGAATGTGTGACTTGCTCAAAATGGGCTGGGTCTTGACCACATTGACCATGAGCATTATCACCGAGAGCATAGACACCATCAGAGGTTCCGATCAAAGAATGAAGACGTCCGCAGGAAATACTAAGAATTCTGGGCCGATCTGGGATTTGAATCTCAGTGGGAGAGATGTAGTAGACTTCTGATCGACTGAAAATTTATAACTGATACATTTCCGACGAAAAATATTATAATTGGATCAATTCCAATTTAGATACCTAAAAAAATAAAAAAGAAAATGAACTGAACTCACAATTTTGTAGGACTCCTGGGAGGACCTCCAAGCTGATAAAAATTGTTTAAACCACTTCCATAGATACGAGAAGGTGATGCGAACAAAGAAAATCCAAGGCCTGCGGCCACCCTCCGGATACTTCGTCTATTCAACGCTCCTATCCTCAGAGGCCGATTTTTCATCTCAGGCATTTCTTTGTGTGTTACCAACTTGGAGAAACCAAGAGCACCAGTCTTGGTAAATCCTGCTCCAAACACCGCACAATTTGCCTTTGGACCTAAATGAATAACTAAAATAATGTCAAAATCTTACCCCTATAATCCATAGTCTCCTTTTTGACCGGTTCAATAGCTTCATCACGAAACGGAGTCTCATTCTTCTTCTTATTGAGATTGGCAATGTCTCGAAGCGCCGATTCAGGGGGTTTTGCGGCTCTATAGTAATATGTGGATGTGTGGAGATGTCGAGAAAAAACTATTCGCATTTTTAAAGGTTACTCCTGGTCTCATAAACGCAGAACTTCCAATGGCACGGTTTGCCCAAAACGACAAAAAACGCCCGAAAAGACTTTTCTTGTTTTTTGCGAAAACCACTTTATACGATCAAAGTTTCAGAGAACTAACTGGGATGTTCACCTTGCAAGGCATTCTAAGCGTTACTGAAGATTGTGATTGATATAATTAGCATAAAGAAACACAATATTATCATCCGGTACTAGAAATGTCTTGTTAATAGACAAATATTATCTTGGCCAATGGAGTAACGAATAGGCCAAGTAGCCAACAACACAACTTTTTTTGCGTAATTCTTTAATTAAACCGGAATTTTTATTATATTTTTGCCTATTTTTATATTGTAAATGCACCACGCTTTTTGGTTACACTCATCTACTTCGACTTGCACCCTATCAACACATTTTTCGCCGTCTCTAGTTCATTTGGGGACTACCCTCGTTCCCTGTCAGTCCTACTGTGCTTAAAAAAATTGAAATATCACAATACTCAGTGCATCAGAAAAATCGGAAAAATTATTCTGCGTAATAAAATTAATATTATATTATGTAACAATAATATAACTACAATCATCATTCTTCAAATATTAAACTGTGTGCCGCCCTTCCATAAACATCATCATAATGGGACATTAAATCATTTTTCTACTACCACTACCAGTTTCCCGATGGTTTTGTCATCTTCACCATGATGACACTCTTTTTCCTGATTACCTTTCCACAGTTACCACATAAGTAATATTGCCTCAATGCTGTTTATCTTCTCACGTCAAAATCTTTAAAAGATCAGGACAGTATCGAACATTTTTGTCAATAATTTTTAAGGCATTATGTTTTTGATACCATATCTACGGGATTTTAGTCCTGACAGAAGCTGTTAAAACCCACGGTACAGTAAAAAAATTGCATCTAGCAGTGTAGTTATTTGTTGTACAGCCCAGGAGAACAGTCACGACATCCCCTAGCCATCATGAAATTTTTTTTGCAAAACTTATTGTACTCAAGGGGTGATGCTCTCAGTGGGGTCCAGAAAATCGAATTAAATATTAGGGCTATAATTCTGAAACTTTCCAGTATTTGACTCTAGTGTATCCCTCGTCTAACAGAATTAAAAAATTTTCACAATGTTGTGTTCTACAGTATTTATGGAGTACTGTAAAATGCCTACTTTTTGCGATTTTTTCTTCCGTACACCCCTCACTCCGAACACCTATGCCAGAAATCAATGGGTAGATGTGGAAAATGCAAGTCAGGTTTGATAAATGCTAGTGACACTCAGACCAGACCGGCTGTAACGGTTTTTTCGACGTAAAGTTGTTTTACACATCAATTTCCAAGTACTTTTTGGACCCTTCATTGGGGTCCAGAAAATGACCCTTCAAAATTCACCAAATTGCATGAAATTTTCAAGATATGCTGTTCTGATAGTCGTGTAACTAACAAAAATCAAACATCTTGAAAATCACCTCTAAGAAGCCATATACGACCCGCTAAAAAGCGCCTTAAAATTGCACATTTTCGAAAGCTCACGGCAAGTCAGAGTTTCGACATGGAAGATGGGGAAACATTCAATACGACAGAAGAAGTGTGCAAGAATTCATTTTTACTCTTATTTTCTATCTTTCTGTTAGTCTTTGCTGTCTTTTACATTCAAACTTTTACCCTATAATTCCGGAATTTTTCACGACTCGGGCGCGAAGTGCGAAGGGCTCGGGCGCTTTTTTGTCGTTTTTTGTTCTATGTGGGCAAACCGTGATGGCAATCTTTTTTGGAAGAAAAATTTCCGAAAATAAAAATAAAATTGCAATATTTTTTGTTGAAACAGAATGCCAGAGATTGTTTTCGTGGTGGGAGTTTCTGATTGTTGATGAAATAAAAATTGAATTCGCAAAATTTGCGGAAAATGTGAACTTACATCTTTTTTTCAGTACGTATTCTTCATTTCGATTGTTTTTTTTGCAAAGTAATATTATTTCTGACGACAATTGGCAATTTTATTCACACAAAGAGATCGTAAAAATTGTAAAACAATACCCATATTGAATTTTGATACGAAGCAAGAAACAACGGCAAACGCAACATTTCCAACTATTATTTACACATCTAGCGCCTCAATTAAGCCGACGCCGGGGTTTTCTTTTCGACTTGCAAAGGAACGGCGGCCATTGAAAGTTTTTGGCGCCCAACGTATTTCCCGTTGATCCTCGTCAGCAAATATTGAGCCACATTGGTGTTGGAGAACCGGATTGTTGGGGAATCGCCGGTAGAGTTTGAGAATCGATTTGGTTTATAACATCCTATGAGTTTCAGGAAGGCGTGACGGTATTCCGAAGAGCAGATCGTGTAGAGATAAAAGTTGTGGAGGTAACTGAAAAATCGAGAATTAGAGAGGCTGAAGGCTTTTTCTTCAGAAATAAAGGTTGATTTATCTTTTTCAAGTTAATTTTTTTGCTGAAAATTAAGGGGAAATACCTGGATTTTATATTATCCATAAGATCGAGATAAATAAAAATCTTGTTGAACGTAATCTGACCTCCTAACACAAAAGAGAAGGAAAATTTTAAAACTACACTCACTGTGATACTTGTAGGCAGTTTGCGAAAGCTCTGAACAATTGAAACTTCCAGTCATCGTAGAGCGCCGATTTGCTGACAAATAAACTCAAAACGCTCGCCGGCAGGGTGCAGATCACAAAAGTCGCAGAAGTAATCAACAACAGCACGGATATCCTCGTCCGATCCATCTCTCTAACCCTTGGAGGCTGATTAACTCTTCTCGAATTGTAGCGAATCTTGATTCTTCGCAACGATCGGATCATCCCAACGTTTAGCACCGTCAAAATTGCAATTGGTCCAAGTCGGCTGATGAATTCTCTGAACATCAGATATGTTTGAAAAGTGGTCGACTGGTTGAGTTGGCGGTTGATTTCGATGGTCCAGTACACCGTGCGTTCATGTGGATCCCAATGGGGAACGAGGATTTTCTGCCAGCCGGAAGGGATGAATAATATGAAAGAGACGGCGAAGAGGATCGAGATCGAATGTCGGATTCGGTTTTTACAGTCTGGAGTATTGTAGAATGTAATGGGATGGCGGATGGAGAGGTATCGGTCGATGGTCATGGCCACAAGACAGAGGGCGCTGAAATTTGATGACTTTAACATTTCTTCTTTATAAATAATTTTCTGTATCTCCTCCTCAGTCACATTTTCTTCACGCTCAACTATTTATAGGGCTTCATTCTTACCTCGCAGTGATCAGCGAATTGATCAACGGAAGTTCAATGTGGGCATGAAAAAACATGGCCATATAAGAGTGGGCATTATGAGCGTGCCCTTGACGGACGCAAAATGGGATCAACGCCAAAATAGAGAGAACATCGGCGATTGCCGATGCTTTGAGGTATAAATATCCGGCAGACGCCAGCGAATTGAGGGTTCCAATGTTTAGGGATTGGTTTATAAACCCTGAAGACAATAAATTAAAAATTTTCAGTCTCAAAGTCAAAGTAAAACGTGGTATTTATAGAGTTTCTTACCAATAATAAGCAAACAAGGCATCACGTAAACATGAGCAATAAAATCAATCGATCCATCTTCTGGCGGCCTCGAGACTTGGTCCAAAATATTGTCGTCGTACGATGGGTCCGGATTTATCCGATCCGGCATGATAATCCGAGCCGCATAGTTACTGGAGGATGGGTGAGAAAATAAAGTGTGGTTGGATAAAGGCGGCATTACCTGTAACTTCATTTATTGTCTATGAAAACTTTCTTTAAACGCCGTGAATTCGTAATTTATATATGGGACGCAACACGTGTGAAATGAAAAAAAATATGACGCGGTTATATAATTCTTATGTTAACCCTTTGTTCTTTTTAATTAACATGCACTTTAGGGCTATGTTGAGCAAAGAATAAAATTATGAAACACTTTTTTGTCGGCCAAAGAGTAGGAGTGTAAACCGCAGGGCGTTGGCGGTCATTGCTCTTTGGATCGTTGCAAAATTTATAAGAGGCCGACATTTATAAGGCGTTTACTCCAGACGTTTACATATATTTTTGAATTTTTTGCGCATTGTCAATCTCGCCCATATAACCAGTTTTTTAAACTTTAGCTAACGATTTGCAGAAGTAGCAAGGATATCTGCAGACAAGAGACTATAGGGATACAGGAGACAACGCCATAAAGAAAGTCATTCGGAAAAAGATGTTAATTCTGTGTGCGGAATTACATTTGGACAAAAAAAGAATAGAATGCTAACTTTCCACCTTCAAGACTTCAAAATGGTGACCAATTTTTTGCAGCTAAAATCTCGTTAGTATGTATCAGAGAAGCGCATCACTTCGAAGTTGTTCGTTAAAAAATAAATGGCCTTTCCAGCACAGCTTATTTATTTACACCATGGAAGATTAATGTATCCTATCGTCCCCAATAAACCTTCATAAAAAATGCAGCAATCTCACCCCCACTACGAAAAAACCCTTGCAAATACTGCAGAGCAATATATTATATTTTGTGCCACTCGTAGCCCGCAGAATTTTATTAGTCCTAAAGAGTGTGAAAAAACAATCCCACTCATGACGTTTCACGGCGTTATAAACACGGTAATCGAATCTGTTATCAAGAATGCGTCGACAAAATAAACATAAGTATATCATGTGGAACTGAAAACTACATTTTTAAAGTCATCATATAAAGGTCACCATTAATGAATATGCAAATGTTGTGTAAATGGGAGAATGTAAATGTAATAGACAGTGTACCATTAACCTCGAAAAAATAATAAAAAAGCGGTAAAGTTTCAAATTATGGACCGACCGGCACGCAAATATCATATTCATCTTATTATATAACAAATAGCACGTACAAAAATCTATGCCACTTCTCTATTAAACGCAATATCAACCTGTAAAAACCTGCGTGTGCAGTAAAGAAAAAAATAAAAATAAAAATTTTATAACTAACAGGGGAAGTACTTCAAGTGTGACGCTCAGATTTTCTTTAAATTTTGCACACACATCGGGTATGGACTAAATATCAATTCCTGAAAGTTTTAGCTCGCGCTTTGCGGGCGCCGCCGAGATATTGAACGATTTTTGCCGCCGAGAGAGCACGCTCAACGTGGAGAGCGGTCAGAGAGAAAACCGCTTTTTGGCCATAACTTTGGCAGTTTCGTGCGGAAAAATTTGATTTTTTGTAGAAACATTATTCTTTACGGTTGAAATAGGCATGAAACTTTTCGTGCCGAAATTCGGCAAAAAGTCCCAAATTTTCGCCGACTTTCGATCTAAAAATCTCGGTTGTTTCTGCAAAGCGCGAGCTAGGATTCCCGCATATATCTTAGAAAAAATTATTCTAAATTTGTGCCAAGTTTCATCAAAATCTGAGCGTCACACTTCAAGTACTTCCCTTGTAAGTCTGCAGTCGAAGTTAATGCAAAATTTTAAAATTTTTGTGAATATTTCAAAAATGTTTGAATGGAAATTTTTAATTTTTTGTTAGAAAAAAAACTGTAAGTATTACATGTTGAAGAAACCCCTCAATTATTTACCCATCACTCATTTCCAAGACGACATTCCTGGGGGATTAACAGCCCCAACTCTCGCAACAGTTTTAGCAAGCATCTCGTCATTAATTTGACATTGTGACTAACCGAACGAAAGAGTAAAAAAGAAAATTAACTTACGCCAAAAATGAGCATGAAAAGAAACGAATTATCGGGAGCATACTCGAAAACGAGCCAGCAGTTACAAAATAAAGAAATTGACAGTTGTGAGTCATAGATTGGGACAGAAAGAAGCTGAGGTAGTTTATTGGAGTACACATGTATGTAAACACAAAACTTTTAGTTCGGGCTTTACACAGTATGTATTATATACGAAAAATTTTAAGCTGAATGTTAGCCAAGATTTTTACTTTGTGCCAGACAGACATTATATTTAAACTCATATTTAATTCGACCTATGGGATTTCTGAACCCTGCAACTATTCTAAGCTTCTCGGCTTCCTTGCAAAGTCTTAAAAAATCTAAGCGGCTCAGAATGCTAGCAACTAGAACCTTACAGTAATAAACGACCGTTTTCCATGTGAGATTAACAAAGCAACGCTATACCGTTTCGTTGTTAGTGCTTGCGGCTATTCTTAAGTTGTAAGGCGCGAGAGAAAAAATTCAGACAATAAATTGAAGACAAAGCAAAAAAATAAAAAATTTTGGTAGCCCCACGAAAATACTCTCCCAAAAAAACGTTTTTCGTTCACAGAGAATCCCAGAAATCCCTTAAAAATCCCCCCATTTCACTGGATTAGAACTCAAAATCCCCATTCTCTAGCAAACAAATCCTTATATAGTTTCTTCCCCGATAATCCTTACAGTATGTATTATTTTTCGAGTACTTGCACAGCCATGACTGCCAGCACATGGGTGGATTACCTACTTCGCACATGAACAAATCCCCGTGTCGTCATGTAAACAATACCCTCCGAGAGATGAAAAGTATTATATATTAGATAAGACAGTGTTAAAAAACCCGGATTTCTTATTGTTGCTTTTCCTGGAAGGAATTGACAAAATGATGTAATTTGTTTCCTACACGTGTAATTTTTGAAATATATATTCTATATATACAAAATTTTGCTTTGAGGAAGTAAAAGTGGTGTGACGACGGACGTGGGGGTTTTATAAGTACTATGAATGCTTCCGGGGATTACTGCTTGTTTCTATTGGACAGATATTAAAAAAAAATAGTTGAAAAACAGAGATGATTTTGAGTGGATTACTGCGTGGGTACCCTCTATAAAAAATGAAAATTTTTCGATTAAAATGTTGATTCAAAATCTACCATATAGTAAAATACAGTACCTCCCACCACCCCCTTTTCCCCGATCTCTGTCTACCGCCCAAAACAATAATATTACCCGAACCCGACATCCGGAAAGCATCAAAGCCCGGCAAAGTTGTAATGTAATGACAAATGTCTTGTTTATGGGATCGGGAACCACAAAAAAAGAACCGCGGAAAATGCATTGCCAATTGCCCTTTATGAAAAAATATTTTCTCTCGAAAAATATCCCTCCCCTCAAAAATTGGCTCCATTCCTAATTTGCATTCGCTGACATCCCATTCGTTGGGGTTGCAAAGCCAGAAACGTCGAAATTCACACAAAAGAAAGCCCATTACACTACGAAAATGTAATTAAGTTTATACAATGCGCAAAATGGAACACTATTTTGGAGCGAGGAATAAATTTATTTGATCAGATGACATTAGTTTTGGGACCGGAAGAGCAAAGGAACGGATTTGGTTACTGTGCTGTAAGGGGTAGAGTAGAGGTTGAAAAGGGTCATAAAGTTATGACCAGATGTCATAGAACTTTTGCATAGTAAAATAAATTAGCGCAATATTTTTTTGAAAAAAAGCACGCAAGAGGAAATATGTTGATGTTTGAAGCTCCCGATTGGCTCCAAAATGCCACTAGCTTTCTAGGAAGCGACTTGTGACGCTGTAACAGCCTGTTCTGGCAAACCATACGATGTTATATGACATTTACTGCAAAATGTCAAAATTGGATTAACACTAATGCAAAACATGATGAGTCTAATTACCGAGCAATAAACGAGCAGACGCAAAGTACAATTTCTTGATGATATGTACAAGTAGATTTCCGAGTATTTGGCAATGGAGATGCAACCAAGCGAGTAGAATAAAAAAGTGTTACATTGAATAAATTGGAAATTAAAATCTTATCGCATAGTAGGAAAGGGAGCAAACGGAAGGCAGGGAAATATACACACACTTATTCCGCCCTCTGTAAAGAACATCCTTCGACAAAAAGTTTAAAAATGTATGACTTTTTTCACAATCCAGCCGTACCTTATTCTCTGTTGTAACTCGCCTGGACTGATTTCAGCTATACCCGAAAACTGTAAGCAAACATTTACAGCAATTTTGTCTACCCTAACTTAAATTGAAGACGATACGCGTGTCGTCTCTCAAGTAGTTCCATTTTAAATGACGTGTTTTACAAATTTATGACCCATTTCCATCTTTTCTTTAACTCTTGCTAGCAAAATCTAGTACAATCTCAAGAACAAGACCACACAGATCCCTCCCAATCAACTTTTACAGCCCTATTTCAAAGTCCGTTTAAACCTCAAAAGTCAACTGCAATGATGTGCAAATAAAGCTTCAAGTGTTTCGTCTTCCGTTTCACACTTTAAAAAGGGCTAAACTGCAAATGCATGTATTACACTGGAATTTATAATTAGATGTGCTAATTAGTTCGTAATGCTAAAACAAAAAAATAATGCAAATTTTTTTTATATCGGCGGAATTGTAATTGTGTATGTAGAATATCGTACAAAGAACGAAAAATGGCGTAAGTCTATTCATGCAATGCTAAATGAAACGTGGTGATAGAGAGTGTGTAATAACAAGACAATAAAAGCTATTACTAATTTTGTCTAATACATTCGAATATGTTACGGTGGTGGGTGTTCACATGTGAGATTAATTAGGCAAAGTGCGGGATTACTTCTCAAAAAAAACCTCTCGTTAGAAAAAGGTAAAAAAAGTTAAGAAAACATGAGTAATATAATATTAAAGTAGCAAAAAATAGTCCAGTATTAAGCAAATAATTACAATTGCAGAGTGTAAAAACAAATAACAT